GTCGGTTAGGGGCTTTCACAGGGGAGGGGGTCGTTTTTGAAAGACTTGTGCCTGACCTCTTGCTCAACCCTGGTCATGACTGAATCAAGGCATATCTTGATAAGAAAGAAGTAGATGTTATATGTTTCGATTTGTCGAAAGCTTTTGATCGTATAAGTCATGGTAAATTGTTGTACAAGCTTGAGCATTATGGTATTAGAGGACCCTTGCTTGATTGGCTAAAATCGTATCTGCACTCCAGGTATATGACGGTTCGAGTGGGGAGAGATCATTCTGGACGTTTCCAGAATGATCTCTCCCCACTGTAAAGCGGGCTTCCACAGGGCGGTGCTCTTTCACCCTTACTATTCCTAGTCTATTCTGCTGAGTTACCCCAGATTCTAAAAACTCAGACATACATATTCTCATGTATGCCGACGATATCAAAATTTATGGTATATACAATAGGGATAATCAGAGAACAATTAAAGATGCTCTGCAGCAGGCCATCAATAACATGGTCGAATGGTGCACAAATTGGGACATTTCAGTAAATGTAAATAAAAGCTCGGTATTCCATATTGGTGCTATTGCAAGTGATGAACACTATGAGCATGCGGGAGTTTCTTTGGTGAATAAAACATCTATCAAAGACTTAGGTGTTGTGTTCGATAGCTCTCTGAAACCAGACTTGCAAATTTCGAGTATTACTTCTCGTGCATTCTCAATTCTGTACACCATCTTTCGCAATATTAGAGTAGCGGATCCAAAAATATTACTGAAACTCTATAAAGCATTTGTCATCTTTATTGTAGAATATGCAAGTCAGGTTTGGAGCCCCTTTCTGAGGAAGCATAAGCAGGCCCTGGAAAACGTCCAGAAGGTTTTTACTCGCTTGCTTTTTTACAGATGTTATCCCAGTCGTGGTTACCCACGATCGCTTCCAAGCTATGGTGAACGAATGAAAGTCTTAGGTCTCAAAAGCCTTTCACATCATAGGATCTTGCACGATATAACACTTGCTTTCAGGATTTTTAGAGGCGAGACTAAGCTAAGACCTTCTAAATACTGGGTGTTCAGACCTAGTCGTGGAAGGACCACCGGGTTTTCTGTTTACTTACATCTAAATGGTGGGCGTAAACACTTCAACTCTTTATCAGAAAACACTTTTTTCGCACGCACTTCAAAATATCTTCAGTGTTTACCTAAAGAAATCTTGTCTTCTCCAGATAGTCTCACTTTCAAACGAAAACTTAGGAAGTTAAATTTGACTGATTTTCTCCAAGAAGTTGGATTTGACTGATTTTCTTCCAGAGGACTTTCTTGTCATCGCTCGTATAGTGCTACCGTTTGCCTGCCGAACCCTGCCGAACCCTTCCCACACCCACTGCTATGCGTGTTGCGGGCCTACTCCAGTACTTGTTATCGACCAACTCTGTCAATCTCTCACTCATCGCGCAGGTTTTCCAGTGATAGCTCTCTCATGTACCAAGTTTGTGATCGATGGACCTTCAAGTCACTCGCTCGGATTTTTACTTCATCCACACGTGGTTCGGGTCCGGTTCACCCTTCCGTAGTTATGTGGGAATAGCTTGTCTGACCTGACATTTTTTGCATCACAATCTTTTATCTTGGAGTTCTGCTCTCTCCCCCGAACTCAGTCGGGCAAATTTTCAATATTACATCTGTTCCCCGCATATACAATTGCTTGTTGAATAATCTAAGAGCACTTTTGCTGCAAGCAGGGGGCGTGGAACAGACTCCACCGAGCACTGGTATTCATACACGGTCCACAGGCTTAACCCCCTTCCATTCACGGAGCTGGACTCGAGCTTTTGGGATGTTTTGTTATTTTCTTTACTGTTCAAGCTCTAATGGTTTTTGTTTCAAATATGGCACGCCTTGCGCGTATTGAATAAATAAATAAATAAAAAAATAATGAACTGTTTCGCAATATCTTTGCTTTTTGCTCCGAAAACGAAGCATAGTTAGGCTGCAATCCTTCCGTGCTAGGTTTTGATCCTGTGCTTTCTTGTCTGCGTCAGGCCTCCGACGGGGTTCACGCGATTTGATCGTCGCGATTCAATCTCTACAAGACAAATGTTACGAGTTCATTGCATGCCGATCTTCTTGTACTTCGGTTGTGATGGTGAGTACGATTAGTCTTGTTGGAAAACTATCAGACCGAAATGCAAGAAGATTGGCATGCAATGAACTGGTAACATTTGTCTGCAGCGATTGACGCGTGAACTCTGCAAGAGGCCTCACACAGGGACTACTTTAAATCGACTACATGATCAATAATATTGTTGAAACAGTATGGATGCGGTCATTTGTGCTAATAATTGTTGAGATCTTTACGCGAGCGTAGCTTTCATTTTCAAGCGCTAATTAAACACGATTTCTTTCACTTAGTGAAATCGGCGCTGACACTTGCGATCGTGTAATAGCTGCTATAAGCATGAGACTGAGTTGTCTGCACCTAAGCCTGTTTAGCTGCTGGTTTCTCCAAGCGATGAAGCATTGTTTCGCCACTGATCCGTTATGTTAATTAGCACATCACATATAGCGACTCCATCAGCCAAGTTTAGCAGCGTATTCTATACATAAACAGATAAATATCGCGCACCTGTGAAACTGAAATGCTCCTGTAACACTGCATACGATATTTCAACAAAAATTGCTCTAATGTTATATTTCAAAGCTGTCATGATGGAAAATTTTCTGTTGACAAAAACAATGATTGATTAGTTTGACTCAGAGAATTTTTGCATTTTTATCAGGAGAGCATCCTCATGTGATAGCAATGGACATACATTCTTTCACAATAAGCTCAAGGCATTCTACATCCAAGAATGAGGCAATGAAGTTAATTTTACATGTGCAAATCTCACTTATCATAATGTTATTCCAAACTCAGTTCAATCTACTCATGTAATGAATACATTAAGACTAGTTAAGCTGTAGAGTCCCCATGTAAAGGCTGCTGCATGACGAAGGTGCACAAGCAGTATTAAGCGGCCGCAAACGCTGCGCGCGCGTATCTTCACCGTTGTGAATCCTGCGCCTCATGCGCTCTGCGGCTAATGAAACCGCGTTCGCGCTCATATTAGGTTGGTGCAAAAGTTTTGTCAGTTTTTCCAATCTATCGGCAAACACGCTAGAATGAACATAAGCAAACACTTCAAAATGTATCCGATGCGGAATTTCTTCTTCTTTCCAGCTCCATCATTGTGTTTAGTTGCGAAAGTGACGAGATATTTGCTGGAAATTACAACCACTCGTTTTTACCATGGCCAAATTCGCTAATTTTAAAATTTTTGTATGAGACTTTCGGAGGAGCCGTAATAACCAGCAGATAGGGCAAACCTTTTGCCAACAGAAGCAATTTTTTGTAGCCATATGGCTTGTCTTTCAGAATCTCTACGATTTATTTTTTGAAGTGACCAAATTTTGCATTCAGCCTATTTTAACCTCGTAGAACATAAAATGTTAAACACTTCAGCCACCGTTTGATGCAATATTTTTTCCTTTTTCTAACACTTTTTTTTTGCCGAGACAGGCAAAATCGTAGGAGAAATCGCAGTATTCAATTTCAGGAGTGCGCACTGACGTAGCTATGTTCCAAAATCTTCATAATTTGAAGCGAAAGTCGCTCATTTACTTTGTAATGGTAGCGGTAGTAATAATCATGTGTTGAAACCTCAGTTTTTTATAGGTTTTGCAGTGTTTGGTGCAATGACAGGTCATGCTATTTTGCCAAAACACAAGACTTTTAGAAAATTATCTAGCAAAAATCTGAAAAGGCAGCTGTAAAAAAGAAAAAATTGCATAAGTTGGAAAAAGGTTTGCCCTATCTGACGGTTATTAGGGCTCTTCCGAAAGTCTCATACAAAATTTTGAAAATTAGCGAAAGCTGGACATGGTAGAAACGAATGGTTGCAATTTTCAGCGAATATCTCATCAATCTTCCAACGAAACACAGTGCGAGTCTAGCAGTCGGAGAGAGGAAGAAATTCTGCATCGGATACATTTTAAAATATTAGTTTATCTTCATTCTAACGTGTTTGCCGATGGATTGAAAAACTGACAAAACTTTTACACCGACCTAATAGATAATGCGCCTTCGTCATGCAGCAGCCCATATACGTCTTGGGTCAAATGATACGTTTTTATAGATTTGATGGAGTATTACAGCTTCCTCGCTCAATAACAAAAGACGATTACGATCTTAATATTGCTCTATTGAATTAACCTAAAACATTATTCTTTGATATATAGCAACAATTGTAGCTTGCCACTCATTACACTTCAGCCCGAGTTCATTCGGTAGAGGGACAGTGCTGACATGATAGTACCGCTCTGCTTGCAAATTTTCAAGTTTTGGAGATGCGCTTTAGAGCTTTACCATTTTCTCACCGTTAACGCAATGAAAAAAGCGAGCTGTCAGGAAGATTACATAAACTTGCCGAATATCATCAAGATCAAATTCAGGCGTTTATTGTCACTTGCCTTACTAACGTTTTCCATAAAGGCTTACTTTGTCGTTTTTGCGCCAATCATATACAGGACAGTGCACTATCACAGATATTCAATTCCGCTGCCATACTGAAGAGAAAAGAAAAAACGAAAACAGAATGATCGTTATAATCTTGTCCCTTTTCCTTTTTTCAAGTCAGAGTTTGATAACTCTTACACACAATCAGATATAAGACTTATCGCAAAAATAATAATATTTATTTCATTTATCGCATTGCACTGACATAATACATTATAATGCATACAAAGTATTATTGTAATCGTATCCATTTTTCAATGAAAAGCAAAATCACGAAAAACCAACATGAAAGCCCTGAGATGTTCTAAAAAGTATAGAATAGTGAGTAATTGGCAGAATGAAGATTTCACACCAGGATGAAAGAGGACGAGTAACAAAAACTTCATCACTGTCTTCTATAAGAATTTACTCTCTGCTTCAGAGGAGTCGATGAGATCCATTGAAGTTTGCTGTCGAAACATCATTACTTATATACGATGTATGGTCTCCGCAATAGCACAAAGATTACACCAATTAGCGCAATGATTAATGAGACGGCTATCGCTGCCGGAATGACAAGATGTTGTTTTTGTATGCAATCTTGTTTACGAAGCCGCCTTAGCACTGCATTGATGTGCTGTTCGTCAGCGTCCAAGCCAAAGTCTAAAAAAGGAGTGACTGTTGTCTAAAATATCAGCAAGAGCCTTACCAAGCTGAGGGTCAAGCACATCAATTTGTTGGGCTCTTACGTCCACCTCTACTGATCCATTCATGAGTAGTGGGAACTGGAATTTGGAATGAGTGGAATCGTTTTTTTTTCTAGAGGAATTCTAACCTCCTGAATGTATCCAGCGGATCGTGGTCGAAGTCGCCGTTCAAGTCTGACTGGATCTTCGCAAGTTGGAATCTTGATTAATGAAGGTCATTCTTGTACTACCAAATGTATGAATGGACTTACTGGGCAATCCCCGTCTTTGATGTCAATCCGCACGCTACATTGAAAATTCACGACTACCTGACAAAAATCAAGAGATTGCTTTTAGTTGAACCCAGGATATTACACCTTTGTACAATCTTTCCTTCCAAAATTTTTTGAAAAGTACTTTGAAATTAGAAACCCTCAGCTTGAAGCAAAACCATTGTTGACCATTGCGGTGGTATATGCTCTCAAAGAGAAAACCCTTATAACCTATCATCGCAAGCTACTTGAGGCAGGCCTAGCGAAAATACTGCGCCTCACCGCAGTATCAATAGTGCCAGTTCCAAGTTTAACCATCTATGGGTTCTGGCATGACTGTATAGTCTCTAGACGATGCTGTAGTAAAGGCCAAAGTTGTCATAAAATTTATCAAGTTGACGTCTCGGCGTCTCCGCCTTCTACAGAGCTTGTAAGAACGAAGATATTCGTAAAGTATCCCTCAAATGCTCATTCCCCACCAGTTGGAACTCAACAGCTAACGTAACCAAAAAATAAAAGATGCGAAGCAAATCAGAGCCAACTTATAGCTTTGCAGTCAAGAGCAACCTCTGATTCAACTGGCTTGGCGACTAAAAGGCGGGGCTTTGTAACCTAATTAACACCGCCCGCACCCGCAATGCAGTCTGCGTCTGTATCGCACGCATGCTCTCTAATCATTATCTAGCCACAGTTAGGCCATGAAGCCCCCCCCCCCTTTCAGCCGCCAAACCTGTTGAATCAAAAGGTACGTGAACACAATGAAGCACCGCTGTTACGAAATTGATATATAGAGATTACTCCCCGCATTGACCCGACCTGACTCAGTAGGTCAAAACCTACAACAGATGTGAAACAACGACTTCTATCAGTTTAGACTTTCACCGATGTGGTGAAATTAGAGCATTTGAGGGAATAGATTACAAATATCTTTGTTACAAGTTCTGAAGAGGGCGAAGACGCTACTTTAGCGTGATAGGCATCCACTGAAGATTACACTATAGTGCCATCGATTTACGTGCGGAACGTTATGCAGAGCGTGACCATATGTGTTCCCGATAAAGGCTAAAATTTATGCAGGTTTGGCCGGATGAAGCATTCCGTTCCAAGCTATATGGCCATCAAGGCCAGCTTGTAGCTTCATATTTCCTACGTCGGAGGGCAATCTTTTATCGACCACTAACGAAAAATACGATGACCGCTGTCAAACATTTTGCCTAGCAAATGCGGAGATAAAACGCTGACACAGGGGTGGCGAGGAAGAGGAACGATAGCTGCTGGGTGTCAATAATTCGCGCATACTTCAGCGTCATTTTTGTCCATCTGCACACAGAAATTTAGAACATTTCCTTTTTTTATGCTTTCACCTAGACAGGAGAATCGTATAGATTGTGTTTGCTTGAAAATGGGGTGTGAAAATCAGCTGAAAATGTCAAAAAAAACTCTCTCAAAGGTAAAACTTCAAGTATTCTAAGCTTATTCCTGCAAGAACATCACCAAATTGCACATAACACCGGGATTTAAGCAAGACTTATTGAGTAAGTTGAGTAGAGCATTTATTTTATATCTACTATTTTTTATAAGTTCGCCATTCGCGAATTGTTGAGGCAAATAGTGCATTGGCACCAGCGGCTGGCAATTGCTATCGTTCTTCTTGCACCACACCCCTAGAGGAAGCAATTTCACTTTCAGAGCCCGCAAACTACTCACGAGCAGCTCTCTCTGATTTTCTTTTCCGCTTTACTATCTTTAGTTTAATTCACGACCTACCTTCAACTTACAGAGAGCTACACTCGCGGCACTTAACCGGACGGTCTTCTGACAATCTTGCCTTTTTAAAGTAAGGGTGGGCAGACGTACTCTAACGTACTACGTTCTTCTGAAGATTTAAGTGATCAAATTGGCAGGGACACTACGGGCCGAAGACTTAATTGGAGATTTACATTGGTCACTAAAACTAGATGGTTTACTTGACTTTGCTTTTAACTTCGCCTTTGCTGTACAAACTACTCTACCCAACTAAAATTCGTGATCGGACAAATCTACGATCAGCTATGTTTTTTCTGTTTTTATCGACTTTTGGATTTTCTTATATCACCACTAGAATGCACAATGAACTACAAAATTTGTCATACTCAACAAAAAGTAATGAAACTTTTCTAATTCTGATGCAAGACTCACCAAGTTCTAAGAAGTTATAAACGAAAAAAGAGTAAAAAAAGGTACAAAAAAGTCGATAGTGAATACCTGTTCAATTAATCCGCTTACCTTATCAGCAAACTTGAATGCGTGCGCCTCTTTTTGTGCTTGCAATGGTCCCGGTCCATATTCGAGGTTATCAAGAAGGTATCGATCGATAGAACATCTAATACAAATAAAGATATTTGAACAAGAAACCTTCCCTGGTCCATCATTCTAACCCTCTGTCATCCAAAATTGAGAATGTCGTTCCTGATTCGTCTTCGACGCGACACGAATGCACTGTCATGCACCAAAGATCTGAAGGTGAAAAAATCAATAAATCGATTGCATGCTGCCAATCTTTTATAAAAAAAAAGGATTTGAAAGGAAAACCAGGCTTACCAGGTGCAGTACTTTCACAAACCCATCTGTGAAGCAATTTACTTCCTACCGTAACCACATCTACCGTATCCCTGGTGTCTGGATCAATAACTTCATATCGGCAACGGGGCATTTCAGCAATTTCTGTGAATGCAGCAATTTCCTGAAGAGACAGGATACGCTGCTAAGACAATCATAAGAAATATTAAAAATTACCTGGGTAGCTACCGAAATCGGGTAGGTAACGGTCTTATCCGCTTGCATATAAAAGCAGCTAATTTCATAAGCCTGAAAATTCGGTTGTTGGGAGAAATGCCAAGTCTCATTCATTGCAGGCTACTGCACGACGAATGCGCAGAAGCAGTATTAGTTGAGCGGGCGCGAGTCGATGCGTGCGCATCTTCACCGTTGTAAATCCTGCGCCTTTTGAGCTCTGCGGCTAACAAAGACGCGTTCGTGCTCAAGTATTTTGCGCCTTGGTCTGGCAGCCTAAAGTCTATTATGTACCAGTTTTCTTCATTTCATTATTGACTGATAAAAATAATTTTCAGAGATGTTTTCTTTGGTTTTGAATTGTTTGAATCATTTCCCAATTTAAGTGAAGATTAACAAGTTTGGAGTATTACCGAGCGCACGGCACGCCCGCGTGCCGCCTTTGGGCGCGTCAAAATTAGCGAAAGTTCTCGCGCTTTTGTAGTTGGTGTCACAGAATTCTTCAATAACATATTATTACATTTTCATTCATAACAGCTTTTCTCTCCCGACACACCCACAGCGCTTGTGTTTCGGCTAACGCGGATCAGGTTCTTGTCTACCAAGCAGTAGCCAAAGCCACAATCTCGTGTCACATGTCTATTTATCATAGAACTGGTCAGTGAGCAATTAGGTGGATTTTACGTCGTACTCGGCTAGATTTGATTATATTGGAACGGGGCTAGAGTCAAGCTATCTGAGAGAACTCGATGGCTTAGCTTGGCGCATAATTTGAAGATTCGATGTTCGAATAGGCGAAAATCTTCTTACCCGGTCTACCTTGGTGATGAATTCGTTGTGGAACGATATCATTACTTTCACGTTTGAAAATAATCCTGGAGGGTTTGACTGAAATTTGCTGTGCAGTAAATTTGCATTTAAAAAGATATTGTAATCTTTACCGATCGTGTTGTGACAACACCGCAGTCATCTTTATTAATGGAAATTGAAGTGGTTCGTTGGCCAGTTTCTCGAGAAAAACATCGTGAGTCATTTGCATGTCCAATCACAAATATTCGCCCTTCAACAAATAAATAAGAAGTTCCAAACTATACAACGACTGGACTTACCTTCGAAGACAGCTTCCGTTAAAAATATGACTTCAATTGTCTTCTCACCACATTCCACCTCAGCTTTACCTGAATACAAAAGCTTGTTAATTAGCGATGTATTAGGTACGAAAAAAAATTTTGCTTTTTTGGTTTTTTTCAGCTAAATCTTGTTTTTCTCAGGAATCAAAGCATCTACAAGGCCGAAATTTTATGATCAAAGCTTCGAAGGTTTGTTGTATACAATTGTATATATGGGAGGAGCACAGGACTACTAGGGTCGGAGTTTGCCATTTTTTGTTTTTGAATTTTTTTGATTTTTAAACACGAAAAAATGTACAAAGGGTACATATGGATAAGTGCATGTGTCTGCTACGCAGGAACAAATGAGAGGTTTATAGGAGTTTTTGGGACAAAAATCCGATTTATATCATTATGTGTTGCTTCGATGTTTTGGCTTGCAACTTTGCGTAAATCACGACTCACACCAAAGTTTAAAGATTATCTTGTAGAGCTCGCTTTGCTCTATCAAATGGCTCCTCTCCCATATTTTTTTGTGATCGTCTTGTTGCTTTTTAGAAAGCGGCATTCCTTCTTTCCAAGCAAAGAAAAGATTGATCAAGGTGTAAAAGAATATTGACCAATTTCTATTCAGCAAATTCACAGAGACTTGGTAAGAATTTCAAAAACGAGATAATTCTGAAGTATATGAGGTTTTGGTAAAAGCTGCTCAAGCTTGATAACCATCATTAATCTACTGAATTTGCCTTCAGTCACTTACAATTTAAGGTATGATAATAATAGTGCATTTAGATTCAAATAAATTTTAACGATGATCGTAAAGTGACAATTTGTCCTTGTATTTTTCTTTGAATTTAAGACCCACACAAGTGGCGAAGGAATCGTCAAAAAATCAGCAAAACGATGAAGGTAGCTGAAAATGTTCGTAGTCTATAATTTCAAGAATATTGCACCGAAATTCGAAGCTTTCTGGCAAGCGGCAAGAGTATAGAGGAATGAAATTTCGAAATTTAATTCTTTTGCGTTTGCCTGGAAATGGGAAAAGGAATAAAAGTCCATCTTTTCAAGCAAAACATGAGGCCTGATGACAATGAAAGAAGATTGCCAGTGTACAGTGGCGGTAAATTACTGTGTTAGTTAGCTTTGTTCCTTTACAATTTTGATAACGACGATCTGATCTCGTCCAAGTGAATTACTGAACTTAGGTATAGGCTAGGTAAATTCCTTATAGAAAGTCTTCTATTGAATTTTAGATACAGGAACTGTACTCGTTTCTCGCAGATGGTATAATAAATTTTATGAAGCTGATCTGAGATGCTACAGGTGAAGAAAGCAGAATTAATCCACACTTTCATAGAAACTAACCCAACTGCCCGTTTGGTACCGGTATGGCAAAAGTCAGCCCAATGATAGCTGCCAATATATAGGTCTTCATCAGCTTTTGATGAGTCGAATACATGCACGAAGGCGACAGTGGTCAGGGAGACGGTATCCCCTCGGGGCTTGGTCGAGTCGCGCAAGGTCACTTCAAGCCACGACTCCGCCCCCGAGATTGCGATGAATTAGCCATCGCGGCGATGGCGCAAGAGCTTGTTTCAGCAAGCTCGTTGCATTGATAGCCTTGTCAAGCTTGGTCACTCTATCTAGCTTGTTTGGAGACGGGAATACTTCAATGGAGTGGCAAGAGGGGTTTTCAAAGTTAGCTAGCAGCAATGTTCTCCTTTGCAGTGCAATTCTTCATAAGTAGCACAAGCAGTAGAACTAGAACGGATAAGAAAGCGAGAAAAGCAGGTTTTTTATTGCCAAATTTTTGTTTGTGACTTTGTTCGGAAATTAGGCCGAAAGCGCCTACCGTATTTCAAACACAGTAAATCGAGACGTTGTTTCAAAAAATATATACAAGTTGTCTCCAAAATATGTGCCTACTGTTTGTTTGTTAATAACTCTCTCTTAATAAAGTCTTTTGAGAAGCTTTGAGTACCGCTTTGTAGAGCTGGCTTCAACTTAAATTTACAGTATAAAGTGAATTACCGATCTTTTTCAATACTGTAGGATTACGGTAAAAACCTCAAGTACATGGTGCCATTGTGAAAAAAGATGTCTTTTCAAAAATTTTCAAAGAATGTGACAACTTATGTAATAGGGTAGAACTACTCAAAGGTTCTTGAAAGACTTTATTACAAGAGGGTTATTAACAATCAAACAGGAGGCACATTTTTTGAGACACCCTGTATATATATATATTTATTATTTAGTTATTTTTTAAATATATGTTACAAATATATTAACTATTTTACTACATTATCATATATGTTTATAATTATTGAATCGAAATACTGTGGAAGAGAAACAAATCGTGCAGCAGTGGGGGACCGAGAAGTCACTCCCCTCTTCGAAAATGGGTCGAGAAGTTCTTTTGAAGTACACTACATGACTGATAAGACTGGGAAGCTACTTGCTTTCACTTGTAAGTAATTGAAGTGATCTTCAAAGTCATTTAGAAATCAAATTAGCTCTGTAAAAAAATTCCGGAGGTTTCCAAATTTTGTAAGGCATTCCCAAAAATTTTTCCTGCTCCCTCTCCCACCAAAAAAAATTTCTTCAAAACATAATTCAATGCTAGGGGAGGGAAAACCGTTGACCATGCTGACTTTTTGAAAACTTAAATTTGGATAAAAACTTCATGTACGCTACAAATTTTAGAATTCTTTGACACTCTGTAAATGAATACAACCAAATCATTGGCTATAGAAGAACCTGCAAGGTTTTCTTCGAGCAAAATTTCGATGAAAAATCACATCATCAACATCTCATTTCAGGACTTTCTGCAAAAAACAAACTAATTATAAAGAAAGCTCAGGAACCAGCTTATGCAATTTCAGACTGATCAAAACAGGTTTTGTGTTATCCATATTTGTAAAAATTTTTAGTTCTTTATAAGACGTGATCTGAGGTATGAAGCTAGAGCCATTTTTTGCTATTGCAATTTTGTTTATGACAGTTTTACAATCAGCATTGATGGAAGCATTGGCGCAGTTTCATTTACTCAGAGGACGTTCACTTCATTCCGCAATCAAGAAGCGATGCACAGAGTCATTCTTCAAGATCCAGAGTCCTTGAAATAGTCGTTCTTGAGCGCGCTATTGCCATCGCCACTTGATGACCAGTATGATATCTTCAATGCGCTATAAGCTGTCACTACAGATCTTGCTATGGTGTTAGATATAGAGTAATCGTGTGAAGATCACTTTCGATCTTAAAAGGGCATTGTGTTGAAGATTACAATATTGAAGTTCAAAATTCCGCTATGCGATCGAGCATAAAGGCATGACAGGATTGAAGATTTACAAAAAAAGAAAGGTACTTCAAAGGGCGATAAATATTCCTGATATGGCTCTTATCTCCACTGATTGCTATGCATTATTTTGTACAGTCTACATCATTCATTCACATGTCGCTTCCTCATCCGAACGGTCCAAGTACCGACCATGTCAAGAACTTTGAAAAAGTAGGCACCGAAATGAACATATTTCTTTATGAAGTCAACTTTCAGAATGTAGACAAGCAAGTGCCCTGGAACAGGGTGGAAGAATGGTCTGATAAAAATATAACCGAGGTATCTACCCTAAGACTTTTAGCAGTTCAATTTCAGTCATAAATCAAATTTAGGTGTTCAAACAAGCTCAGCCTGGTGATGAGATTGATGTAAAGTTGACCGTAGATTTCAGCAAAGCTTCGAGGTAATGCTTTACTTCTTTAGACTTTTATGCTACTTGATTTTACTATGTAGTTCAAATGGCTTGGCGGCTAGAAGGAGGGGCCTCCTGACCTTATTAAGGCTAGGTAATGATCAGAGAGCACGCGCACGAGAGAGACGTAGACTGCGTCGCGGGCGCGAGCGACCTTAAATAGGTCACAAAGCCCCGCCTTCCAACCGCCAAGCCAGTTGAATCAAAGGTTATTTTTCCCAGATACACAACTACAGAAGAAAAGAAAGAGTTTATGAGGAGAATAGCGGAATTGGAGGCGCGCTATATGCCAAGATAGATAGCTTCAGTTATTTCACATGAATAAAATTTCACCGAATAATAAAGCTATTTGAGGTGCTGGACTTTGTCTCTTGATTTTTAGCAAAAGTATGACTTGACAGATTTGTCTTGCTAAAGTACTTGCAGCCAAAGCTATTCAAAGGGGAGTAATCGTAGAAGACGAAAGAACGCTTTAACTTCTCCTAAATATGACATCCTCAAAACAGCTACCGCTTCCGCAGAAGTATAGACTTAGGGATTCGTCAGAGTTTACCGGTGTTATCAGTGTTACCCGTGTTACCCGTGTTACTAGGTGTTACCCGTGTTACTTGTGTTACAGTGTTACTTGTGTTACCCGTGTAATCCGTGTTACTGGTGTTACCCGTGTTACTCGTGTTACTGGTGTTACTAGTGTTACCGCCTTTTATTGCCGTTGAATATAAAATTATCACAATACAGTCTCATTTTGGAACACAATATCCCTGACTAGCGAGTAACACGAGTAGCATTAGCAACACTAGTAACAGGAGTAACACAGGTAACAATGGTAACACGCGTAACACGAGTAACACTGGTAACACTGGTAACACCGATAGCATCGGCAAACTCTGACGGATCCCTTACGTAGCAAATCGTCCAAACTATCTGGTTTATGTATAAAACAATAAATGAACCTTTGCTAGCGCAAATTTTTCTATATATTGTTTTACTTCTAAAAGGGTGCGCCTATCTGCAACCACGGCTTCTCCAGGAAAAGTTTTCCTCAGTTTCGGACGATTTCACGAAGTCCTTTGACCTTTCCAGAAGCCCTCTCACTATTCCTCTCTTGTTTTTCTTTGCTCCTGTGCAGGCTTAATCCTGAGATAGATATTGAAAGACTAAGATCCTTCTCATTACCATTTACTTCACAACTTTTTTTCGAAACTAATACTTTAAGTAGTAAAAATTAGTAAAAGTAAGCTTAAGTAGTAAAACTAGTACTAACTTTAAAAAAGGGCATGAGTTACTGTACTGCACTTAGCTGCAACACGGCTTCTCCAGGAAAAGTTTTCCTCAGTTTCGGACGATTTCAAGAAGACTCCTTTGACCTGCAAATGAAAGAAGTGGCTGGCGGAAAGAAACGCTACGATAAGCTTGAAATCTTTCTTTTGGCGGAATCGCAAGCCACAGTTTTCGTTTTGGAACTAGTTGGTTCAAAAGGGGGGGGGAGACGAAAGAACGCTGATTTCTTTTTGCATTTGTATCAAAAACAGTTGTGTTTTGAAATTGAACTGCCAGAAAATGAGGAAAAAATTGATTGTGAAACGAAAGGTTTTGTTTTTTCAAGTCGATTTCACATCAAACCCAGTTTGATTTTGGATGCGTCCTTTGAATTTTAATCCCCGTAATGTCGTTTCTGTTTCCAGTAAACTGTCAGCATTATTCTGCTAATCATGTTGTGCAAGAAACCTTGAGCGTGAAAAAATGGTTGCGTACTCACAAAAATATCATGAAGAAAGACGCACTTTTTGTTGATTTTACAGCAAATTCGGTACAAGAGAAAAAGTAAGCTCGCGAGGGGTCTATGTCATATGCAAAAGCAAGACATGTAGAATGCACAGAAAACTAAAACGAAGAAAAAACAACCGTTTCATGAAAACACAGATTTTGCCAGATTTTAGCACTGTAGGAGACCATGTTGGAACATGTACAGTCGAGTAAATTTCCCTGTAAATATAGTGCGCCTGCAGAAGCGGCAGCACTTGCGCGTGAACAATAGCCGCAGAGCGAGAAGTTCCACTGGATATCAGTGTTTTCTTCTCTCAGATCTCGTTCTTCAAGTATGCCTCTTTCGACTAGGTCTAAAAACTGATCTAGAAAGCAACTTTTGTTGTTTTGACCAATGATATGTCGTTTGAGTTCAGTTGTAACTCCTGGTGGCGGCGTCGCGTTCAGTATTTGTAACGTAAACCTTTCTTATATCTCTATTCTATCAAAAACTTTTTTACCACGCTGGTGGTGGGCTTCTTTAAAGTTAACATACCAACAGTGAGTTTCTGCTCACTTAAAAGTAAACTGTCTTACATCAGTAGTTCATCTGATAAGGGAACGTAAAATAGGATGAAGAAATCTATTAGCGTTGTAAATAAAAGAAGAAAAGAAAGTTACCTAATTTCCGTTTCGTTCCTATCACTATACGGAAAGTAGGTAAGCATACGATCTTCCCGGAACTCATCAGTAGTGAAGGAAGATCGTAAATCATATATAAAAAAACAAAAACAAAAACAAATAAAGGAAGATAAACTAACCTAAATTATAATAATGTAGTTGCTTGTAAAGAAATGTTTTTAATAGAAAAGAGATGGAAGAAACGACTACGTCACAAACTTACCAGGGTTGTACCTGAACTCACGACGGTATGACTGGTCAAACCAACAATAGCTACTTTCTAACTTACCTTCTACTTCTAGTCAATCGAGGAAAACCTTAAAGTTGGAATGAGCGAAAAAAAAATAAATCAAGTGAAATTTCTCGCTCTGCGCGATTTTTACGTGCAAGTGCTGCCGCTTCTGCAGGCGCACTATACAGGGTGTCCCAAAAGTAAGTACACATTTTTCAATCGTCAAAATTTTTCTTACCAATGGGTTTTTTTGCCAGTTAAGTACCATTCTGCAGAGGAGGTTTCAACATAGAATTGCAGTATTGAGCGAATCACTGATCGCTCTTTGTTACTGTAGGATTACGGTAAGAACTTTCAGCAAGTGGAACCATTGTGAAATATGCCATCTGACAAAATTTCTTTCAAAAAATCTGAAAAATAGTGTAGTAGGGTTTTCGCGTACGCTGATTCCACTACACAACTTCTTGTGAGTGTTCCACTTTACCATTTTTTTGACGTTAATCACATTTCTGACAAATACTGGAAATTCGGTTATTACGGTTTACCTGGGATAACTTTGTATAGAAGCATCATTGTGAAATGCAAATTTCACATTTGAAATCAGCGGCTTCCATTACCGTAGTATAAGAGCTTTTGGCTTATTTGGTTTTTTCCGAAGCAGAATATAGCTTTCAATCGCCTAGAATCCTTATCAAAGTTTCTACAGTAATCCTACAGTAATGAAGAGCGACCGGTAATTCGCTCGATATTGTAAATCTAAGTTGAAGCCTTTTCTACAAAATGGTACTTAGATGGTTGAAAAAGACTCAATGGGAAGGGAGATATTGACGATTGAAAAGTGTGTAATTACTTTGGGACGCCCTGTTAGGAAATCTACACGACGAATGGCCCTGCTTTGACTTGTGTAGACTGATAAGAAAATCTGGGATAATCTATATATATCATCATAACTTATAATAACGGGCTAAGGGTTGTTTACGTTTGTCTGTGTGTGTGTGTGTGTGTGTGTGTGAATCTCTGTCTGTCACGAAATTCGTAGAGCGTGTTCCAGCCAACGTCCTGAGCCCAAATTTTGCATAGCGCACGCTATCAGCATGAAAGCTCACTGCGCAAAAGCATGAGCGGATCCGTTGAGTGGATCCATTGAAATTTGCGCGTCGAACGGATCCACTTGGCTTCTGGCCAGCAAATTTGGGTCCGTAGTACTACTTTTTGCACAGTTAGGGATATATTTGACAAGCTAATGTGCAAGCCATGGACGTTAGCCTAAAGAAGCAATGAAAAGTCTATACTTCACGAAATCAGCGCCAAAAAGCATTCGCTGTGTAAACGGTCAATTTTTCAAGATTTCACCTGATCAATTGAGAAGATTTTTGCAAAGAGATGTAGCCCACTATGTTTATTGTCCTTACGGCGACTACCAAGCCATAAAAATTCCAAAAACCTACTCGAATTTGCATCTGTTCTTCTGGGAAAGATTTTATTCACGCAAAAATACCGATTTCACATGAAAAACCTCTACGAATGAGTAGTTGTTTACGAATTATTCGTGATAGCCTACATAGCGCGGTGAGTTTTAGTGTCTCATTGTTATGCGGGAATGAGTAAGGCATAGAGAAAATAGGGCCAGTGCGAGCCTCTGCGAAGCAGAGGTGACGCACTGGTATATATATAAAACTCAAACTCTGTAAGTGTGTTCGTTTGGTTGTTGGTTCGTTATGGAAACGCCCGCCAATGAACCGATTGAGCTGAAACTTTGCGCACATATGTATTTGACCCCGGAGCTGGTTTAGCGCTACTTTTTGCTGCAATTCGCAGGGCCATACTATTGATTTATTGATTTTTCGCATAAGAATGAGTTCTCAACATGGGCTAACAGGTCATTTCTATGATTTGTAAACAACAGCAGTGGAGTTCATTCGATTCTCGCGGTAGGAAGGATGCGGTGATTCAATATCAGCCTACAGCGGGTGAGTTACTTAAAGAAAGAAAACCCTTGCAGCGCGGCATAACGGCTAGGTGGGAAGCGGAGGCGCGATAGAGGGGGGGGGGGAGCAAGCATCAGCTGGAGGACCCGGACTAGACCGGGAAAATCAGCTAGTTTCCAATGTAATTGTGATTCTCTCGAATCTCCCAAACGATCTTTTTGATTCCTCTCCCAAAACGACATCCAGTTTGACTCGCTTTAGCAATGCTCATAACTGTCTCTTTCTGTTTTTTCTTCAACAGTAGATCACAATTTTTTCAGACGTTACGGCTACTAATGTATGAAGAGGGGGCTTAGCGCACTTGAAGCGTTGAATTTATTCTTGAACTTATGAAAATGCAACATCCACAAATCTAAATTAGAGTTAATGTAACATATTTAAAAGCTTCCGCATATGTCGAGCTCTTCAGACGGTTTCGTGCTTTCAGCAGCATCAGCTCCCATCTCTCCCTGCTCCAACCAGCAATAATGTAGTTCTTGATCTGAATACCTCAAATACAAACCACAAGCACTATTTGTTCTCACGAATAACAAAGACATCTATGCTTAGAAAGTGATATCAGCGTAGTTTGCTGTGTAACATTTGGACAGGCAACTCACAGCCAAACTGACAGTAAACTGCTGATGTGGCTCAGAAATTTCAATCGGCTTTGGTGTCGCTTCAGGGTACTGTATCTCAGTGATTATGTCACGTTCCACTATGCAAGTAAGAGGACCTGAGCATATGAGGTGCCAGTCAAGCGCAGTCATTTTGAAAAATTACCTTGTCCAGGTCCAGGAGTCACAGTTGTTTGTGTTGCTGTTATTGCAATCGAGCAGTTTAGCGGAAAGTAGTACACAGTTGGGGTAAACTGGTTTGCGATATCTGGCACGAGCTGTTCAATTCCAGCGTTTTTGGCTTCCTCTTTGATAGCATTGGTTATCTGAAAAGAGTCCTTATTCTCCAAAGTTGTCCGCATAGTTTTGTAAAACACCTCACCGCACTTTTCACGTAACGCTTAAGATTTGCGATAGCCTTTTCTGGAGTACTCGCAAATTTGGGGAAAGCTCCCAATACCGTGCCTTCTTTGGTGTAAGCAAATTCCACAGGTATTTTGAGAAGGTTATCCACCAAAAAGTTCACTGTCACATCTGAATTACTGTAGTTTTACGAGAGAATGGAATTTACATACATATATAAAGTCTAAAGTCCGTTTGTGTGTATTTTATACAAATTTTTCTGAGTGGACCAACTGAGCTGAAACTCTGCCGCTTATATGTTCGAGTGGCTACCATAGGCTAGTTTTTGCGACAACTTATTGGGCCCTCCCATCTTTAACCTTGGAAAATAAAAGTTATCATGCTTCTGTCAAACATTTCCCATAGTCATGTTAGCGCGGGAGGTGTAACTTATTTTCATTTAGGGATGAGGAATATGAGGTGACTCAAATGTCATGTAGCAGGTGAGCCTATTCTAATGCATAAGCGCGCAGTATGGACCAAATGGACCGTAGGATAAGACCGGAATGTTAACTAGCTATCAACAAAACACTTAAAGAGTGCGGTACTTCATTACTTTTCAAGCCTACCTTGTCCTGGCGAGACGGGAGAGCAAGCAAAAACGAGCTCAATGTTCGATAATAGAACCAGAGCACGGAACATCTTCCAATTGATGCCGGTTCCTCCCACCACGAAATTTATACTGAAGTCAGCATAAAATGCTACGGATTTTATGACTGAAGGAAAAACAGTGGTACTACAGCTGCTTTTTTGTAGGATATTCTTGAGACGCTCCTCGTTGGCAAATAGTTGAAACGCTTGCTAACAACGGCGGTGTAAAAAATTATGAATCATTGTGGAGAAAGTGGGAAGTACAAATTCAATGTCCTCTGTACTATTTATACCTTTGTATGGGTGAAATCTAGGAATTCTATTAACAGATAGATGACTGTTGAGATGCCTTGACGTTGTTGTCAATGCATCTATTACCCAAGATAAAAAAAATGCTCATATAAATTCGAGTTGCGTAAAATAAAAAAACTGAAAGAACATAAATACTAGAAAAAAAAATTCCCTTATAAATTCCAATACCTTTCTTTACTGTCAATCAACCGATGCAGGAATATAGGGCATTTAACAAAAAATATTTCAACTCAATCTCTCCTCAAAGTTGGTGTTTCAATAAATACAGAGATGTGACTGTTGTCTGTGCACAGTGATGACCAGAGCCCGGCACAGATCGTGTGGAAGCAGGCTGGACTTCATTTTTGAGTAAAAAGCAAAGCAGATTTCGTTTTTGACGAGTCGAGGCCGAGCAAGAAGAGTAAGCGCCATTTAGTCGTACAAAAGCTTTTCGGACAAGTTATCACATAATTGACATGCTCTATCCTGCATGGCGAAAAGTGCGCGCGGTTTGAAAGCAAGGCTAAATAAACAAATTGCTTGTTTAAAGCGTACAAAGAATCTTATGACACCAAAATCGAACTGTATGTATAGAAAATTATTTGCGGAAGGATTATGCAAAAAAGATTTGAAAACTTACGTGAAGTAACACCTTTTCCAAAATTAGATCGTCTCCAGATGGCCACCAGACGACCTGAGATCGTCTGGAGCATATATTTTCGTCAGTTCACATAAGTTTCAGATCTTTTTAGCATGAGGGAATCTCCGGTCAAAAATCTATCCCTGAGCATGAAAACATTTTCATATCGTTGCCTCATTTGTTTTTTGCCTTATTTCTTTTGATCGCTTGGTTAAATATCGCGCTCTAATGCCAAACTCTTATGCATGCGTAGCAGTCACCTTCCAATTTTTTTCACTCGTATCTCACGTTTTTTCTTCCAGACTACTAAATCTTTCTTGTTTTCGTCTTCCCGTAAGTAGGTAGGTCAAAGAGAACTTTGTAAACTTCCGAAAGTCAAGGGGGACTTCGTTTTTCCGAAACTCTAGAAACCGACTCGTGCCGGGCCCTGGTGATGACTACTGACGCACTACTGTCGAAGTAAGTTTGGACTGTACATCTTCAAGGGGATTTCTGAATAAATCAAACAAGTAGTGAAATTTTTTTTTGCGCTTAGTCAAATCTCGATCTTCCTTTGGAACCGAGGGGGGGGGGGAGGTTGAGGATTTCCTTACGGCCGGAGATTTTCCACCTAGTTTTCACAGACGCCTCACACCTACTTCGCACTTCTCGATTCACCTAACTAGTGAGTCAGATTCATTATACTGCCGAGAGGAGAGGTTGGGAGGGGGGTAGAAAAGTTTTCATACGAAGGCTTTCCAATCATCTTGACCTCTTGGCGGTATGCTAGGGTGCTAATATTACGATCAGTAATTACCTTACAATGGAAAAGAATCTTCATTACAAAAAATTTACCAGATAGATATTTGTAAGGCACATGATTAAATACAACCACTTTTTTATCTTCCTTCGAGCAACTCTAAACGCATCTATTTTTCTTTTTCCTTCTAAACAATGCTGAATGTTCGAATAGACGTGATATTTCTCAAATTAGGGAAATTTGCAAAAAAAAACAATTCATCTCAATTCAAAAACTAGTAAAATTCCGTGGTCTGCAAAAATTTTGCCTTCATTTTAGCTTATTTTTTCTGTGATCAAATAGCACAAGAGAGCGACTTCATTGCCAGCTGGACATCAAGTAGTATATAATTAGTTCACAACGCTCAAATTTACTTAAAATTAGTAAGGAAATAAGTAGATAGTCTCTTTTCGGTGGGATTGCTGAGCTTAGGTGGTCTGTTCTCCAGCTACCGATTGTGCTGCGTCTAAGGTGAGTATAAGTTCTTGTGGCTCTAGTAATGTCTTTAGCTAATCTCCTCGGTTTGTTTTGTTCTTGGCCCTTGACGTCTGAGTGAATAGATGCTTATGACTTCGCCTTTCCAGGCTCCGAAGAAGGCGTAGATCGCCGAAACGTCGACGTCAGCCAATAAAAGTTATTATACCAATCTTGGTTAAGCTCAGCAATCCCACCGAAAAGTGACTATAACAATGCCAAGATTCAAGGAAAGCCGAACCTTTACCGTACTAAGTAGATAGTCTCTTTTTTGTTCGATCTTATTGCTACAAAATAATCTTTGAATATGGATGTTGAAAATTATGAACGCATGAAAATGCAAATTATTTCAAATTCGTAAGCATTTCGCTCACTTTTTCATCAAAACCTGCTCTAATTCAGCAGCAGATTCAAATAGCTAATTAGCCTAAGGCTTTCGGTATTTTTAAAGGCTCGCATAATACTGAACTGGGCTTTTGAGTTGACGGCTTACATGGAGATCGCAGTCGTTGACCGTCTTAAGCCAACAGTCACAAATCTAGTATAGTGCCAATTTCTAATTCCTTGGCAAGTCAGGATGATGGGGGAACAATTCAGAAAAGTCCCTCCCCCCCCCCCTTCCCGCCCCCATCCCTCTCCCACCCCCCCCCCCCCCTCTCTCCTAGAGTATACTAGGCGCAGAGCGCGAGACTTCAAACCTGGCGGGTGCTCATTTTGCATCTCGAAATTGCTCACCGTTTGAAAAGTCACTCACGCTTTGGAATCACAAGCATGTAATTGCTAGCTGCAGATTCGCTTACAATTGTAAGCACCGCTACTACTACTTAGTGCGCGATTTTGTGACTTGATGTATATCAATGCATTTCTTTCTGAAGATGATATAAATCTTTCGTTTTTGCTGTGCTTTGGTTTCATTGATCAAGGGTGTTTCTTTGTCGCCAACTTTGCGCTACCATATTTGAATGCAATTGGCGATGCAGTTGTGTCAGTTTGTCAGTATAGCCCCCTCTTAATTTTTTCTTCTGCTTTAGAGGCTTGTCCTGGAGTATGGGACCCGCTTGTAGGCAGCGTCTGGATAATCGTTGACCCCTCCTTTTCGTCCTACCTAGGTTTATAGTCTCGCTGATTGCGAAACGCAATTCGAAGAGGAAAAAGTAGTTGAAACGTAGTAAGAGCTCTACATTGTGACCATGAGCAAGTGAACGTGGGCCCTGGCAAGACCAAAAGTCGAGAATCGTCGTCCACCTTTACATCACGCATCTCCTTCATACATTTTTCATAGGCTTTCATAGTTCACCTCATATCCTCGATACATAAGGTTGTACTCTGGTAACCTTCATCTTGAAGGTCGTGAGAGGGCACAACCTTCACCTGAAAAAAAAACTCAGCTGGGGCAAAGCCCCGGACGTTATGATCATGAGTAACTCGGAGTGAATGTGGATAAAGCAAGTCAGAGAATAATAGACTTTTTATTGTCTTTCTTTCTATAAACGCTTTTTGCGCTACAAACGAGGTTTTCCAGATTTTTACAGAATCCAGAACAACACATCACGTAACCTTTTTCAGACTATAATTGAGTGTCAGAAGTCCACGAAAGGTGTTGGAGTCAAAAAACGAGGCACTTAAATCGTGCGCAGGAAGACCCGCACGAAAATGTAGGTATTGCATTAATGAGTGATTTTCAACATTTGGAACGTTGTCAGTGTTTCTATAGGTAGTCGGCTATAATCGTGTCATGACGATCAGAATGATATATAATGTTGCAGGGTTTCATCAAGACCCCGCGGAGATCTACGACCCCGTCGGCTATGGTTTTTCTCCTCTGTTCCACGTCCCCGCGCGTTGCGCGATACTTCGCTACCACAAACGCGGAGCACGGGGCATTTGGCACTGGTATCCTTTTCTTTGTTGTTCTGGAACCAATTTTAGCAAACTGTATATCATACTGTACCCCTTGGTCTTTACTTTCATGCTGACAACGTCCCAAAACCCCATTTCTGATTTGAAGAAGAAATCGGGTAAAAGCCATGTTTTCGAAGATCACCTTTTTTTTGTTTAGTTCATCTCTTTTCACGCGGTTTTTTTGCTCTTGATGATCACCACTTCCGCTACATGGTTATTTTTGAAATAATCACAAAGGTCTCAAAGAAGAAATGAGCTTTTCCTCGTTTTCCCTCGTGAGTGACTGTCTGGTCTGCAGCGGAAACTTGCACTTCGAAATGCTGCCAAATGAAGTCAATATTATTGCTTTCTTAGAAGTTTCTTTTGCTATCTGTTTTGCATCTTTTTTCTTCTCTGAATTCCCATAAACATATAAAGAGCAATTATTCAAACAACCTACGTCCTGTCTCTAGACTATTGAAGGTATGTTCACCTTCACTCAAAGTATACTCTGCACTGTTTATAACAAAGTTGAATTCAATTTCGTGAATGAAAGTGAGCACTATGGTCCCTCGCAACAACCGCTTTCTCAAACTTCCAGGGGCGGCATGGGCAGTTAGGTACACAGCATGCACATTTTGGGTTCACGTCTACATCGTGTTCGAAAGGTGCTTACGATATCTGGGCGCTGGCTAATGCTCCTTCTTAAAAACGACCAATCGTACCAATAAATCAAAATTATTACGATTCGGGAGTCGTAAGTCCGTCACGTGGTTCATTTTAGTCAAGCCTGCTTTACTTTCGAGGCGGGCACTAGTGATAGTTCATTTTGATGTTTCACTGCCTAACTATCCGAAGTAATTACTTTTTTGAGCGGCTGCCAGCAATGTCTCGTTTGGTCTTGTGATTCATACTTTAGGCTCCCATTTCTCAAAGTTCAATCGCAAACTCGAGAAAGGGAGTTTTCAATTTTGCAGTTTCGAGTTTTTCTACTATCCATTTGTCATCTCGACTTACAACCAACAATAAATGTTCTCCAACACTGTGACAATGTGCTGTGGAATCGGCCGATTGCGACTCACATGTGTTATGGCATTCTAAAAGCTAATTCAACACAATTGAATACGCATTACTTGTACATCTATTAGTCATTCAGATCACCCACATATCTCTTCCCCCTCTCCCTTAAACCCATATTATCAAGAAAACATGAACACTTTATTTGAGGGTAAAGAATAAAGGATAAAGGATTAAGGTCTTCAATACCCTCTGGGGGCATGCGCCAAACGCAAACACTAACTTCAAAGTCGAAGAGGCAATTGTATGCGTGCGAGCCCATTACAGTGACTTGCGGGGGCCAGCCGTTTCCAGGTCAGTGCTTTTATCCTCCATTACTCTGGTACCTTTACCGACCCCGGAGGGTAGAAGACTTGGTTGCCCCAAGGGCGGGGATGGAACCTGCGTTCGATCTGGTCATAGTGGCGCCTCATACCATTACGCCACTCGTCCCCCTTTTTTGGGGGGATTCCAGCCGATTCCGGCATCATTGACATTCGTCACAATTTGACATACTATATCCAACTTTTAACCTCGCCAACGCCGTTTTGTCGATTCTTCTCAAAAAATTGGAACTTCTCTTCTATAGATTCTACGAAAATTCACAAAAGAAATGCAATAGAAGATAGGTACGATCTTGACGATTCGCGGCATGTTTCACAAGGTCAACTTGATTTTACAGCGGAATAAAGTTCATTAGCCAACGTTTCGACTTCTTGCCGTCAGAGCATGATTGGGGACTCAATCGGTGCCCACGTGGACTGTTTCCAAGTTTTGACAAAGGGAACTAAGCTTGACTTTGGTCAAAAGCTTCGTCACATCGCCTACCACAAAAGAATAAGTTCTGGATAGGACGACCGCTAAATGACCGAATATTGAAGCTTGAATGTGACGGCCGGTATAGCTGGCTCAGATACTGAGGTAAATTTCTTGTGATTGCAAGGCAGTTATCTTTGCATTTAATATCGTTTACAATCATAAGAGAGCTACCTCCGTATTTGAGCCAGCTATGCAAACCTTCCAATCAATACGAACATATTCAATCTTCTAGCCCTCGTGCTATCAAGAAGTGTTTTTTGTGACAAGTGATGTGACAAAGTTTTTGACCAATTAAGGCTTTTTGTTTTCAGGCCGTAGAGACATCGCGTGGGTAACGATATTTCCCCTCACAGAAACGAATGCTAGAAGTCGAAACGTTGGCTAACAACTTGATTCCCTGTGTTGGCTACAGAACATCAGTTTGAGAACAGCAGGTAGTTTGTATCGTACCTAAGTAAAGGATGGATGTTAGAATATAACCTTTACGATATGGTAGGCGCAATTCGATTTATACGATTTTCGATTGTATTGAGAACAGATTCAACATTAACCTTTTATTATCATATCGGCAGAAAAACGGTGATCACTTTATTTTTTCTCATTTGATGAAAAGTACCATTTAAATAATAAGCCTGAAACTCTGTTGCCTTGCTACTGATGGTTGCACATGTAACGGCAAAGCTTACGTATTAGTCCTTATACTTATTCTTTCAAACAAAGCCGGATTTATGACACTTTTGGAGATTCGCCACTAAAAGTTTCTATACATCAATAATCTTGGAGTTATTGATATTTGACATTACCTGACGTTTCGTTTATGATGTTTCACCCTCTCAGCTTTATTGATGCGCCGCTTTTGAATTAGATTTTCTTTCTGAAATGCTATTATCTTCACCATAGAACTTTGTAAGATGCGTTAAAACTGCAAAATGAGTTCATTATTTGCGCTAATGCATTAATCAGAAGCTTTTAGTGTCAATATAGATAGAAAAGGAGAAGAGCAGTGTAGCAGGAAAGACCACTCAAATGTCATATTCGTTTTTGATTAAAGGTCAGCCCCAAACGGCAAATATTTATGGAAGCGAGGCGGGTGTTGTACGAGCTCTGACGGTTAAAATTAGACGAAGGTTTGCGGTTCGCATCTGTCGCATAATAAATCGACCGCTAGCTTAGCCTTTATCTCTGTGTTTATCCGCTGGCAAAACACAGCGCTCTTGTTTTACCAAACTTTATAAAATTAGACTCCTTGGATCAAAGGCATCTGTAAACGTTTCTTTTGGATCAGACTTTGTTGCTTACCTCATCTTCTGTTTCTTTAGATGCTTTCATTTCTTGAACTTTCTAAATAAATCTGATACAACTGACACACAAAAAAAGCATTTATATACGCACCGTTTCACCTATCTCCACAGCATGAATCTTCAACTTAGCTGTCCGTTTCTTAGATCGTATGATTTAGAAGTAGCAAGAAAAGTGATTCGCTTACCTTTCTGTCATAAGGTCTCACTTGATTAAGGTCCTTCCTGTGCGGATTTCTCCTTTTATGAGCTGAACATAAGTTTGAGAGAGCAATGAGAACGTCAAGTGTACCTCTCATTCCATAATCCGATCTTGTGTGAGCTATGCGACATTGTGGTTGTTGCCCTAAATTAGTCGTTTCTTCTCCTATTTGTCTTTGTTTTTCTACTTTCACTCTTTTGTTATACCTTTAGGCTTCTCCTCCTGTACTTTACCTTCTTCAACAACTCCGGCTGCTGCCCGAGAGACCCACGACGCTGGTAAGAGGCTAGGATTTTTGGACAAGATTTCGAGAAGAATGCGTCTAGCCTTGATTTGAGCTATTGAGAGCACAACCAAATTTAAGTTTTGCTTACACGTAATCTTTTCATCAAAAAATATCGCTCATCGTCACTTATCGTGAACCCCAAATTCTCATTGGTGTTTGTGATCGTACGACGAATAGCTCTTCGTACCGCTTTCTCGATCAAATTAGCGACCTTAGGTAAAAACTTATCGTTGTACTACAGAAAGTCGCTTTCTCAAACTCTCACCATACTTCCGTAACTAGATTTCAGGTCAGCATTTTCAAAAAAATCTGTTACTTTCCGAGTTTCTTTCTTGTCAAGGGCATTTTCTAGTAGATGTTGTTGATTCCACACTGTCACTATACGTGTAGCCATTAGCACAGTATTTTCGTCCTAGGCAGGTAAGCGTTAGCCTGTACGATTAACTGCAAGCCCAAATTTTACTTACCGGTATGGAACCCGAATCTTCTTCTTCTGTGGCTTTTTCGATTGTTTGTCTACCATCTTTCCACCTCAAATAGCCTACCGTCACAAGCAAAGAAACTTTTGAGATAACGGTTGTACCTAAGCAAACCTCCTCTGGAGCGTGTTGTAGCAGGGTGTGCATGTTTCTCATTCTCGAATTCCTCCTGTTCCTCATCATTTTCCTGGAAAAACAATTAAGACTTACTCGTTCTCATAGCTGACGGCTAAGAAAGAAGCAATGTGATTCCTTAGAAAGGACGCCGAAATTGCAACAATTACTTAACTGACAAACACACCTTAGTCCTATCAGCAATAGCACTCACTTTACTGATCCCTGAAATTAACGAAAACTCAGTCGTCCTCAATTAACAGCCACCTTGTGTGTGTGCACCACTCTTTATCAGCAATACAGTATACTCTGACCTAATCGAATGAATATTCGAGTTTTCGGATAAAGTATTCAATTTGGAATTTATTCGGAATTCGACTATTCAAGAAATTCAAAATTTCGAGTATATTCGACACTCGCTTACTCGAAGAATGTCATTTTCGAATTTTCTCGATTATTCGGTCATTCGAAACTTTTGATTTTCAAATATATCCAAACATTTGAATATTTAATTTCAAAAGTTATGCGATAATTCGACATTTTCGTGTAATCGAATAACTCACAAGGAAACCGTGTCGAGTCGAAGTGGCCTTTCCAGATGAGACCCATACTGCTTTGAAGGGTATTAAACGATGATTCCAAATTTGCCTTTAAAATCTGCCAAGCGCCTTTGGACGCCGAGTTACGACCGTTCTTCGGAACGAAAAATGAATACAGAATTTAGGTAAAATTGATTGTTACAATCTTTCTAGCGCTCAGATAAAGCAATGTCAAGTATTAGCATATTGAATTAAATGTATCCATTGCATAAACAGCTCTGATACTTGACACTGGAGCATTTAAGCAAATTTGGGCGATTTTGCTTCAGTTTTGCGTTCAGTTTTTTGACCTGAAAAACGAGCATGACTCGGCGTCCAGAGGCGCTTGGCAGATTTGGAAAGCAGATTTGGAATCACCGATTAATGCTCGTCAAAGCAGTATGGGTCTCATCTGGAAAGGCCACTTCGACTCGACACGGTTCCCTTATTAGTTGCTTGTGCCTTCTTGTGCTCTTTCCCCCTTCCAACTGTGTTAACGCATTTACACGTAATTACAAGTTGCAAGTCGGTCTCGCCTCGACCACACTGCTTCCGCTGAGTGGGACTGTAGTGAATGCGATTGCGAAATCTGTTGTTGTTGCCAACTCGCTATTTCGTGTGATTTGATGCAGTTCTCTGAGTTTTTGACCATTGGCAACGTTTTTTCTCTGGTTTTTATTTTGGCAGTTCTCCATCCCTTTTCCTCTCTTGACAACAAGAGTTTTGGAAAGCGGGTTGGAGAATGACCGCTGTGATGCTCTTATATCCGAAAAGCGTGCAACTATGTCTTTGCTATATTCGTTTAGAACACTTTGTTTCCATGTGGCCTTTGCGTAGTCTTCACAGTCTATGTTTGAGGTGTGGATTTCGCAGTTTTCAAACTTCGTTGAACAGCGGTTGAATGATGGACGTGGCCTGCTTTACATATCCGAGAATACTTCGAGTTGTCAACGCACGGACTGGCCGTAGATTTCGGAGCGCCCTAGACTTGCGTTTTTGAAAACCCTAATGTACAGGACGAATGGCGAAAAACTGCTGACCACTTTTTGGGGTGTAAAAGTGAGTTGCAAACACTAAATTTGCAATATTATAAAATATGCTTAGGTTTGGGCAATACTCTTGACTCAGCGGTGTCCGATTGACAAAGTTGTGGAAGGTCTTTTACCCCCAAAGGATCGGATACGTGTTCTTTGATCATATCACAAAATACTGTCAGCACAGTAGTACCGTCCCCACAGAAAAACCTTCAAGTACTTGAATACTGCTCGATATTACTCTAATACTTCAAGTGTGTTTAGATGGAGTTGCAGCAATACACTGTACATCTGAATCGAGGAGACGTAAGACCAAGCCCTAATGCAGACCCAATTCGACGCTGGCGCTCTCACAAGACCAAGTGCCCCTATTGGCATCATCAGCAGCCACATATCTCGTCGCACCTTGTACATCCGTAGACAGCGAAAGGCTGTTCGGGTACTTTCGGTTTTGTTGGGTAATATACGTCCAGTGATAATGAGTTCTAGCACTGCTGTCATTATATGGCAATAAAAGGAGAAGACGACTTACAGCAAAACTCGCAAGTTTTTTTTCCTTATGATCAACGCTAATTCGAATGAGGAAACTAGTAGATGAGATGGATTCTTTTACATTATAAAATGTTAAGCTTTAAGAATTAAACTAATTAGGCCATGCAAAACTTGGACACAAAAAGAAGTTCCTCACTATGGATGCAACCAAAGGTCGAGTGCAGCTCATAAGTTTTGGAGGAATCATACTCTGACGATTCGCAGGAACTGGAGTAGAGGATCCATAGGTTTTTGATGAAGAATAATTGTTTATTTATTTGTTTAATCCTGTTTGGCCAAGTTGCCATTGACTATATTATGTAAAGTTTCTTGCATTGAATTTATTGGAATAAAGCTTTGAAGAAACTGTGAAAAAAAGGGGATTTAAAAGAGCGCGAGCTTCTCGTTAAATCTTGAGCGCTTGAATCTGCCTTTCATATCTTGGAAACTCCTTTGCGGTTGAAAGGAAGTTTAAGCATGTAAATTTCAGGAAGGAGACAATGTTTTAAATTCATGAGCAGCTAAAGTTCATGTACATTGTTTCAGTGGCATGCTGCTGAGGGGGTGTTGTAAAGAGATATACATTGACAATTGTGCCTGATTTGATGATTTTTGCAAACTTTGATCGAAGGCAGTTGTTGAAGCTGGAAGCAAAACTCATTGTCTAAGGTTGAAGCTTCTACGCAACCGCACAAGAGTTTCTAGATACGATAACCTCGATAGATATTTTGTCAAGAACTTGGAAAATCCTATGTAATCGTTGCAGTTGCGGGGTAATCTCAAGTTTAGCATGGAGTCGGCACACCTTCGAACATCATTTCGGTTTACTGTCCGCAAAGGTCTGCGATGGTAATGCATCGGTCACATAGGGCCCTCATGAATTCAACAGGGAAATTTATCGGTCCCTAGCCCACGCAAAAGTCTGAGCGTAAAAACTTCAAACAAGAAGGTATTACTGTAACTATCAGGGTACTCCCGTCATGTATCCAAAACGTATCATATCATATCATATATACCATGATTTCACAAGTACAAGGCGCCCTTTTCGCTGCTTCCTCAAATGCTAGCACCGGACGCGTAGCTGTGCCTCGCAGAACGCTCACTCTTCCGCATAAACCTCTTATGTAAGGCGCAGTAGTGTGGAGGGTACCTGGACCGCAAAATCATTTTGTATTTTCGGGCTGCTCGATTTAAGAAAAAAACCGTGGGTTGTACTATGAATCTAGGGTACACGCAATAAAGTGATTCGAGCAAAAACAAAAGGCAAGAAAAGTAAGAAAATGGGTTGCCAAAACTGCACACGCGACGTATGCCATGGCCGCTATAATCATGCGCGTTCGTTATTCTGTCGCATCGGAGAAGATACCGGTATATATTGAACAATCATCTTTTCGCAAGGCTATCTTGTGATGGAATCATATGATGATGTATCCATGCTAAAGTCTGCATTGGCCGCAAAGCTCTTGAAGCTTTGAAGCTGAAAAACAAGGGAGGGTACCTACTGCTCAATTCGCTTGATTGGGTTAAAAACATTGACGATTATAGGGATTTTTCTACACCGGATAAGACAACTATTGCGATCTGAGTGGAAGCCAAATATTGCTTAAGAACTAGTTGTACAGTCCGTAATTTTACCGATAAATGAAGTGCCCTTGCGATGTCGAGATTATTTTGCGCAGTTTGCGCGTGAGCAAACTGCTACTCCTGCCGGCAAATTGCCTGCGCGAATGAAAGTATGAGTGCCAAGTTCGTTCAGAAGGTATCGCAGACTTCGAGACCTTAGCTTTACTTAAAAGGATTGCCAGGTTTTGGAGCAGTGAGCGAGAACGTTGCCTCGCTTGGGGTGTTTTTATAAATATGAACTTGGAGTGTTTGTATAAATATGAACTTGGAGTATTTGTATAATTATGAAAAGGTTAAGAAGTACGGCACATAACGGTTTTTCAAATTGAACCGATTTTTCCGCTGCTTATGTTATACTATGAGCTTTCACGTGGCGCTAATGTTTTCTTAAGGTTCTTTCATTGTTGCAAAATTTCAAAATCTATCCTACTATAATAACGCGCTAAGAGTGTTTACGCGTTTTAGCGTGTCTGTCTGTCACGAAATTCGTAGACCGTGTTCCAGCCAATGTCCTGAGCTCAAATTTTGTGTAGCACTTGCTACTGGCATGGAAAAGCAAATTCGTTGAGTGGATCTCTTAGAAATTCCGCGTCAAATGGATCCAATTGCATTTAGCTTACAAAATTGGGTCCGTAATTTCACTTTTTGCAGAGTAGTGGATGTTTATGGCAAGTAAATATGCAAGCCATGAACTTAGGCCCAAAAAAGTGATCAAAAGTCCATTATTTACAAAAACGGCGCCAAAAAGTATTGGTTGCTTAATTGGTTAATTTTCCAAGGTTTCACCAGAGCATTTGACTAGATTTTTGCACAAAAATTAGCTCACGTGACTACTGCTCAAAAACCTATGAAAATTTGCGTTTGTTTTCCTGCAAGAAGTTTCATCTACGCGAAATGATCGGGGTGCGGTGCGGAAGGCGACAATCCCCAAATTTTGTGCGTTCCAAAACTCTTCGGGGCCAAAGTTGACACGGCGCCAAGTTAGGGGGTGGGGGCAGATACATGACTCGATACCACAAGGAAAAATTTGTACAAGTTAGAGAAGTTGATTTTACACTGCTTGCATTTTGCGCGCATTGTCGCCTTCCGCTTGCACCCCCCCCCCCCCAAATGACCAATTTCACATGAAAATTTCGGAATGAGTAGTTGTTTACATTTTATTCGTGATGCTTGGCATTGCTTGGTGGGTTTCAATGCCATTATTATGAGAAAATGAGTAGGGCCTAGACAGTAGAGCCAGTGCGACCCTCTGCGAAGCAGAGGTGAAGCACTGGTCTACACATAAAACTCAAAGTTTGTGATCAAGTATATCTTCATGAAGTAAGTTCCGAATCGAGAGATAAAGACCAGATTAGCAGATGAAAATAACACGATTCGGAGTCAGCGATTTATGCCGCATCCAAAACGGTATGCAGCTTGTCTGGACTTCGACCTTGATCATTTCTTTGAAAGACAAAACCTTAAATCCTTGGTGCTTCTAGGAAAAAATTTGCTTCGAAATACATACCATAGTCTTCTGCGGTTCTCTCAACTTTCCGCTGCTGAGCGTTCTTAAAAGCGACAAAACTTTGATTTACTGTATCGAACCCTAACCTGCTTTTCCAGCAATTCAGTGATGTGATGGCCAAGCTTTTGGTAACGTGCACGTGTCTCTATGTCGGTCATTCTTATTGTTCTGCCCACAATGAAGAGCTTGGTCTTGAAAGCGAGATCCTAGCAGGCGTAAGCGTTTGTAAATGGACACCACCGGAATCACTAAACTTCTCATAACAGCTGTTAGCCCATTTCATTCTGATCAGATTTTGGGCGAAGCAGCTGCGATCGACCAGACTTTATAGCTAGTGCTCTGTCCCTACTGACAAGAGAAGTCACTTAACTTAGTGTATACGTATATTTAGAATCAGCTTGGAACGCTAATTTTAAATATTCCGTCCTTAGCTGCGAGGCGTTCGTCTGAAGCAAGTTACGAGGTCCTCTTCGTTACTCGCTGCGGGGTACTGACGGAGATCCTAAATCGTTAGGTGAAGAAGATAATACCGAGATTGGAGCCAATTCGAGCGAACTAGGATCATTGCTTTTTGGAAATGTAGAAATTACTGATGAATATGGTCACAGAGCAGTCCTACAGTGACTTATGCCGTCCGCCGGCAGACTAGGTGAAAGGCTAGCAATAAGTTCGGGTGTGCTTCTGGTGAAGTGGCAAGTGTCTAGCGTCATAGTGAGAATGTCAGTGGATCGACTCCCGCCAACGCTTTTCCCTTTTGCCTCCATTTATTATTGTTCAAAAGCGGATTATCGGTGATATATTATGCAAACAGTGAGACTGTAACCTACCCATAATTTAGCTATTCCTTTTTGATTCGCTAGTTGACTTTCCGATAAATATCTTGACAGACGTCATTACTTCGAAGAGTTACGAAAAGGACCTCGTAACTTACTTGACGAACGCTTCACAGCTACAGGGCTCTTAAATTGCAGAGTCGTTTGCACCAGCGGTCGCGCGACCGCGAAGCGCCCGGGCATTTTGCCGGCGCCGGCGCTATCGATTGAGGCGGCGCCATTGATGTCCGGGCGCGACGCGGTCGCGCGACCGCTGGTGCAAACGACTCTGCAATTTAGGAGCCCTGTAAGGATGGCATTTTTGGAATCAGTGTGTCGAGCTGATTCTAAATATGTGTGTCTCATTTCAAGACGCCGACCCAAGTTAAAGGCAGCGTCCCGGCAAAAATATGGGTACCGGGATTTTGTGGCGATGTTGAAGTAGATCCCTACCTGAGCGATGACCTGAAGTTTGAAGCGAAACAGGGGGTCTATCAAGCCTATTTGCTCCGAAAGTGGCCCGAATCTTACGGTAGGCTAGGACGCCGCCCACACAGCAATATCGATTTGCAAGGCCAGAGTGCGTATAGCGCACACAGTCATGAGAGCAGGTCCCGCCACGACTCTGCGTCTCTACCTTGCATGCATCTCGCACTCGCCCGAGCCTACCGTGAGATTCGGGCCACTTGAGGGGTGATTTGTAGACTTCGACCCCCTTTCGCGCTGCAAACTTCTGTCGTCGCTTAGTCAGGGATTCTACTATTGGATTATTACCAGAACCAGGTACCCCCAGTATGGTGGGACGATGGCTTTAAGGGACCCTCCTTGTGAGTTTGTCCACCCAAAGTCGCAAAATTTCACGCAACAAAGAGACTCTAATCGGATCGGATCACTAAGAATTTGCAGTGATCACACAGCTCATATTAAAAGACGAGTTTCTGACAACGTGGTAGAAGAATGACTTTCTCGAGAACGGCGCTAATCTTCTCGGATGTACTGGTGACTGAGCAGCAAATTGTGATTATAATCGTCCTTACCCCGCTAGCCGCTCAGTGGACGATTTCGAGTTCGAGCGCACCACCTCAATCGTTCAGATTTACGCATGTTTCTTTTTCTCCTTCACACCATTGTTCGCTGATTTATGTATTATTGCGGTTTTTTGATCCAAATCGGTTTTTGTTATTGTTGAGTGTTGCTTCGCGCAATTTTGCTCGGCTTTTGATTAGGTGCTTCTATTTGAGCTTTTAGGAACGATCAGGGCTCGGCACGAGCTGGCACCAGGGAAATTTCAAAACGAAGTCCCGTTTGATATTGAAAATTTCGTACGAATTCCCTTTTGACCTGTTTTGAAAACCCGTCATCATTTTTATATTATGTAAAAAAATGTAGTAGTGTTTTCATGCATTTCTGATTTCATGAAAGAACTTTTCACAGCTTTCTGAGCTTTTTAAGTGGTCGAATCACATCTTGAGAAGCAGAAAAAGCCGATTTTTCGACTGCGGAGCGGGCCGAGTGGTTTTCAAATTGCTATAAAACGCTGAAAAGAGAACATTATGAAGCTGTTTCTTCTCCGTATGTAATCTTTTACAGTGTAGATACATTTTATGTAGAAAAGTATGAAAACTTATGTGAGCAAAGTGTCGGTGCCAGCTCAGCTGGCACCCAGCTGGCACGGTGCCAGCTAATTCAGAAAAAAGTTAGGCACAGCTTTCCTTCACATAAATTTTCATAAATTTTTGGCCCATAGTTCCGGTCCACCAACGCGCATGCACACACCAAATTTGGTGTCATACTATTGCGTTTTGGCTGAAAACAACGCCTTTGTTTGTTGATGGACAGCTTGCCAATGGCATGCCGGTGGCATGCCGGCGTCATTTTTGCGACAGTTCTCCGCCTCGGTTCCTGTAGAAACGATATCCCCTTTGCTTTCCGCCATAAAAACGATATCCAGCTTGACCCGGTGCCAGCTGTGCTGAGCCCTGGGAACGATGCATAGCGAGTTGTTGTGATAATATTCACTGAAGCATCACTTCCGCACATTTCACCCACAAAAAAGTGTTACAGCAGATGTTTCCCATTTGTATCGTTTCCCTAAGCTTACCAGTAGTCAGACCTGAAGTAAAGAAGGAAGGGAAAAGTGCATAAACAAAAACTATGCCTGCTTTTAAGATACCCTAGAGAATAGCAATCCGATTAGAAGTGGCAGAGTAACCTTGCTGGGAGTAAAATAAGCTTTCAAGTCCATTTAAAATGGAGGTAAATCCCATTTTGCCCCATTCTAAATGGACTTTTCGTATGATTCTTTCGCAAGCGGGAGCCCAAGTAGGGTTGAATCATTTCCATCACACCGCTTTGCCTCGTGATTGCGGTAAGATAAAAATTCTTGGATAACGCGGCGATGGCAGATTCCGACCAATTCCTGCCGCGAACGAATAAAATGGGGTTTGGAAGTCCATTTTCCTCCATTATGGACTTTCGTGGATATCATTCCAGAAGGCATTTCACTATGGACAAAATCTGGGGTGCCCTAGGTAGGAAGGTAAGCTTCGTTGAGATAACGAGATGTGATAAAGCTCCTGACGAATGAGTCAGGTTGGTTTAGTTGTTAGAGATGCCTATGGCTAGTAACAACCAATAAGTGAACCAGGCTACAAATATCAAACTACAACTGCAGAACACCAAAACTCTGCTCCGAAAAATGACCGTGCGGACCGGGAAACCAACATGCTAGTAACACCAATTGCCGTAAAACCAAGGAGAGAAGGAAGTGGTGTAGAAGTAGTGAAGCGGTAAGAGAAACTAGTAACGACAAATCAAAACCATTTTAGAAAGCTTGGATGCAATCTATGTATCGGCTCTCAACTTAGCCCTGAAGGAGCGTGTAGTCTGAGAACACTTCACATCCATAGGCAACCGTTGAAATCATTGGCAGACCTGCAGAATATGATACTATGCGTTTCTGCAAAATAATATACAAATCGATAGAAGGGCTGCGCGAATCCCGCAAGAAGTACAGTACCTACACTAATTTTGATAGAAACGCAGAAACTGAGAATTCGCTTTTTTTCGTTTTTTTTACTTCATAACTTCCCTTCCCAGCCTATAATGTGCGCGAAGTTGATAATTATAATATGTGTGCAGAGTTTGACGCTTGGTTCACTCACAACTAATTCTATTCGGAACATAGCTCTTAAAAGTATACTTAATCACAGACTTTGAGTTTTGTATATGTCAAAAAATCACTTTCGTCTAAAGTAGAGGATTTGTATGTGCAAAAAATGCAAGAAATGCATTGTAATCTCCCGATAACATGATATCACTGATTCTATGCTTTTTTGATTGACTGGTGTCATTCTTAACTATTTGATATGATTAATCAGACCGTAAAAGGGAAATGCTTGGCTACTGATAAGCGCTGCACTTGCTTCTTCCTCTTGCCTGATCGATACCGATGCTAGGCATCTCAACATCGCTCATATTGAGCATTACCATTACGCTTATAGCGGCTACAGAATTTGTAAGTACTCATTTCCATGCACTGATTACATTAAGAGTATAGCAGGTTCTTTTGTCCCATCTCTGTGATATGTTTAGAAAGTCATGTTGCTGCGTTATCCTACATACTGTTACAGCTTTCCGTTATCTAGCAATCTATGAGGTGGTCCGGAAAATAATTTCGCATTGCATCCTACCACAACAGAGTGGTCACTAAAAAACAGTGATTGAGGTGTCATTCTAAAGAGCAGCGCAAGCTCTACAAGATGTAGTAAAAACTCCGCGGATAGTTTCTTCCATCTGGAGCTAGAGTCCAGAGTAAAATCAGATACCCGAAAAATCATTTCTTCGTTTATGAATGTCTTAGGAATCTCTAATTTGCACAAGCCTGTACTCTTTACATCAGACATTTTCGTGAAAAGTATGCGGAACTTTCTAAATTCTAGAACACGAGAAATAAAAATAGGCCAAAAGTGCGGATATCTCGCGTTTCTATTGAATTTTTTGCGAAAAATTTGATTTTCTCTACTACTAAACAATGCAGAAAGCTATAATTTTATGTTTACACTTTCAATGCTTACTGCAAAATCACCTATACGATATGCCAGATTTTGTCTTCTCGATTTCTGGTCATGAGAAAACCACATTTTTTCAGTTTGGAAGCCTTTAGTCCTTTTGAAATTTGGCTCCAGAATTTAAGCAAATCAAAATTGCCGTGAATGTCTCAGTTTTATTATATTTTGTGCTTGCTTAGTCTATCCACCCGTTAAAAAATTAACTCTTTTTCATGCTCATCCTGCTGCGACAATGCTGATTATTTTCCGAACAACCTAATGAAATAAAAAAATATTCTTAATCTCATAGTAGAGTGTAGTAAAAATATTTGCATTGAATCATGCCAAAAAACTCGAAAAGTTGTGAAAATGTGGCTTTGGAAAAGAATTGAAAACAGATTTTTTTCCATGCATCATTACCAAAATGCAACAGTCAATGCTATCTTATCTTCTTGACTGAGTATGGCTGTCTGCTTAAATTGAAGTTCCACAGCTTCACTTTCTTTGTATTTTTCCCATTTCATGATAGCCGCGATGTCACCTAGGTCGAAACTACAGAACATGCTACAAGAAACTTGTCTCCTTTTTCTCAAAAAAAAAACTCATAAAATTCAATATCTTTGAAAACATCATTTTTCGTGCTATCATAAGTGTCGATGCTTGGTGCATGTCAGTTGTGATACTAATCTGCTAAACTTTTGTCCTGTAAAAGCAATCTGAGGGTAGCTTTAATGTAAGTAGCCTCTAAATTAGGTTGCTCTCTTTTCAAAAATGCAATGCCCTCAGACAGATTTCACATTCATTACAGATGAAGTATTTTTGTTGGAGCAGAGTATCAGAGCACCATCTTAGTCATTCTTTCTCTCCTTGATAAGGATATTACGATTTGAGATAATTTAAGCTTTGATAGAAACGGATGGGTTTCTTCTAACTAGTCATTTGGAGTCTCTTTGCTCATGAAAAGGGCCATAGCTATGAGAGCTAAACTAAAGTTTATAGCTAGAGATCCTGATTCCGGGTAATGATAATACTTGACGCGGTTAGTTCAGGCTTTTTATTCGACTCGGATGGTCCAAAGTCTCACGATCTCAGACGAATATTGTGAATTTACGTAGTCACTCTAAGGCTACTTTCAAATAGTATGATATAGTTTAGCACTGAAGAAAAATGCTTTTCACACTTACCAAAAATTGAATAGCCCGATTATAAAAATCACTCAGTACGTTTTATTCGGGAAGCTTGACCTAACTGCCCTTTTATAACAGACTTTTCGCTCCCATTCTCTCTCGCAGTCCACCTTAAACTGGTGACCAAATTCTAAAATTGGCTTAGCCTTTACTAGATCTGATCTAAAAGTTCCAGAACATTCACCAAAAGCTTGACGACTCTTAATTTGCAGAGTGAGCACTGCCGAGAATCACTGCAACGTGGTAGAGAAGTGATCGAAAATTCTATTCCGGCCCTCGTAAATGAAGAGAGACTAAGAATTCGACGTAAATATACACAAAGAATGCAGGAGATGTTCGCGGCTCAGGTTTGTATGGCTGAGACTCACGCAATTACGCAATCGAATATTTTTTTAGGTTTCCAAGACCGATTTGCTGACTTTTTCCAAGTACGCGAAAATTCTTGGCGACGCTGAAGGTACAAGTACAACGCTGCCACCATGTCCTGAACCGAATGGCACAATGTTTACGACAATGGCACCTACAACTACCACAACAGCGGTACCGCCGCTTCCAGTTTGCTCCACCACGGCTGCAGCTAGCACCGCAACGATGCAGACACAAGCGCAGACTTCACTACCGGAAGGGACAACTGGTACAAGTGCGAGCCCTAGTACAAGTCAACAAACAGCGTCGACAGCAAGTGGTACGACCTCTGGGTCGGGAAGCACTACTAAGGTGGAGCCGCTGGAGGAGAATAAAGTGGAAGTAGGCAACTCAGCCTCGTCGACGGGGACGAATAAAGCTTCACCGGGAACGGACAAGGTATCGATGGGGACGGATGCAGCAGCAGTGGGAACGGAAACGACATCAGCAGGGACGGAAACAGCGCCAGCGACCATGGCCACCCAGCCAGACACTACCGATACTTCCACTACTTCTGCAAAGCCAACGACGAAAGCACCAACCACAACCACGGCACAAGTGCAATGTGTGGATCCGAATACTCTTGCAAGTGAGTCCCAAAAACTCACATGTGGGTAAATATCTTTGGATACTAAGCTGTCTCGAAAGTTATTTGTGTGCGCGCCCATGCCAGCACCGTGCTAGCGTCGTGCCAGAATATCAATCGATCAAAAAAGTGCGTCCTGACACGGCATTTGCATGAGCAATCCTTGACGCTGCAGAAAATGATATATTCATAAGCCATTTCCTAAACCCAAACACTTTTTTTTCTTCTTATGCGATCCCCTGGGAAGCCAAAAAGAGGAAAATGTAAGTTGTTATATGGGAAAGATTAATTGTTTTTGGTTGGTGGTAGTGTAGCGCCAAATTAGGAAACCTGGACTTTTTGCATGCAGACTGATTAGGAGGTTCTAATTAAGACAATGCTTAGGCGTCAACTTATGTACATTCATGGCCTGGAAGTTCTACTGAAAAGTCTCGCCCAGACCGTACCCTGCGTGCGGTATGGGCACTACTGAGTCACGTCCTTGTCATTCCTATACTTTTGGAGATTCAGTGTGGTACATTGCTGCTTCTAATTGTAAGATCTTCAAAAAATCCAATAAATTAAGTAATCAGTTTTTATTGTTTTATTTTTATTTGTTTTATTTTACAAGTTCTCATAACTTTCATAAAAAAAGCAATGATACTATCTTTGTGTTTCAAAAATAGAGGTTGAGAAAAAATCTGCATTTTATATCACGTTGGCTTCCTACGAGAACCTTCGAGTTTCCTATGTTTGTTCTAGAATCCAAGAAGAAAAAATTCATGATGCCCACGGTCTATAGTACATCGTCAGAAGATGATCCATTCTACAACTGGATGAGTGCTATTTATGTGAAGATATTTACTCTTTTAAAAACTATCAATAATTGTTTTGCCGTAGGAGTACATGGGTAAAGAAAAAGAAATTTGCGACCAACCACCAATGAAGGATCTCAACTCGATCACGGAAGACCAATTGTATGGATTTTTAGCCACACTTTCGGCCGCTCATCCAGGTTCCTCATTTTCATGTTTTTTGTAGATGAGTAAGACTGACTTATTGAAGATGTCGGCTTTTTAGGTCCGTTCTGTTCGTTGTGTGATCGACTTGCAAATGAAGCTCGGAAAAGAGTTTTCATGATTAATCCGATGTGGGGAGTAAGTACAAATTTAATTTATAATTATAGATAAAACCATCAAGTCAAATTTCCTTTGATTTGCATCCGTACCTTGCGCATTTTTCGAAGCGAAAATTAAAAGTTACAAATTGAGAATCCTAGCGGAATTACTCTTGTGGAAGATCTTCGAAAGCCAGTCTTTTCATATCATTTATCTGCCTTTAAGGGGCTTACCCAATATTTCCGTTTGGGAGGAGCGACAAAAAATTTTTTTAATGGAAGTGCTTGGCGTCAGCTACGCAATAATTCTAAGGCTACTGAATTTTCAAGAATTCTAAAAATTATTTCAATTAATTACAAGTATAGACAAGTCACTGGCACATTTTTTACTCATATAACACTTTCAAAAATTTCGCGACCCATTTTCGCGGGGGTGGGCGGGGGGGGGGGGGCTCGGTACGCCACTGCTGCCTATACAGTCGTTTTTGGGATGGAACATACTTGATTTTGCTGTTTCGGGGCTTCCTAGATCAAGGGGTTCGACGTCCGGTAGGGTGGGGAAGAGCGGTCAAAATGACCGACCAGTCGAGGGAGGAGTAGAAGATGAATGGGAAGTTACAAAACCAAAATATCAATTTGATGGTTTTTACCGTACTATTACCGTATTATTACAGTTCAGCAAATGTGTTCTGTATCCTAATGTGCCCATTTTGATTAGATGCATACGACTACCCTCGATACATAGAGCCACATACTCTGGTAACCTTCACTTTGAGGGCTATAAGGGGACACAACCTTCACCCGGAAAAAAACAGAAGTCATCCTGGGCTTCGCCCTGGATGTTATTATCCTGACTATATCGGAACGTATGTTAATGAAGCAAATATGAGGAACTAGCTGGCTTACCCGGCTCCGCCGTATGTTCCGAATAGAAAATTCCATTTCTTAACCGATCCGGACCAAACTTGGCACACATACCCTTCGGGCCCCGGCGGGTGTCACAGTCCACTTTTCGTTATCGATCGATGTCGATTTTATCGATTTTTTGCAAAATTTGAGCTACGGGGCTGGGAGTTGGCAGAGGGGTGTAATCGAGCATGCTGATTACGAATACAATATTAGTTTTCGAAACCATGCATTACTTTTATCGATTTTATCGATTTTTTGCAAAATTTGAGGTAGGGGGCTGGAATTTGGCAGAGATCAGCATGCTCGATTACCCCCTGTGCCAAATCCCAGCCCCGTAGCTCAAACTTTGCAAAAAATCGATAAAATCGATAAAAGTAATGCACGATTTTAAAAACTAATACTGTATTCGGAATCCCCATGCTCACTTACCCCCCCCCTGTGCCAACTCCCAGCCCCGTAGCTCAAATTTTGCAAAAAATCGATAAAATCGATATCGATCGATACGAAAAGTAGCCTATGACACCCGCCGGGGCCCGAAGTGTATGTGTGCCAAGTTTGGTCCCGATCGGTTCAGAAATGGAATTTTCTATTCGGAACATACGTACACACATACAGACAGACAGACATACAGACAGACAGACAGACAGACAGACAAACAGACATTCAGCTTTATATATAAGATAATATCTTAGCTTTCAGCAAAACCGAGAATTTGCGTTTTCATAGCCTTTTTTACGTTAAAATGAAGGAATTGAATTTTTGTAGAATTTTCGCCAGAATTTAGGACAGAACTTCTCATTTGACCGAAATAGAGTTTCAGAAGTTGAGGAAAGGTATTGGAGTTGAATAAGAACGAGAAACTGCGCTTAATTCTCGCGCAGAGAATCGCGCACGAAAACGCTATCTCGTTAATGAATGACTTATAAAGCTTGGGACGTTGTCAGTTCTCCTCGATGTGTCATGACGATCAGAATGATATATAATGTTGCAGTGTTTCGTTGAGACCCCGCGGAGATCCACGACCAGAGCCAAATGCCCCGTCGGCTCTGGTCTGTCTCCGCTGCTCGTCCACGTCTCCGCGCGCTGCGCGCTACCTCGCTACCCCAAACGCGAGGCGCACGGCATTTGGCTCTGATACCCCTTTCTTCGCTTTTCCGAACCTAAATTTAGCAAGCTACATGTCATTTTGAAGCTCTCGATCTCTATTTTCACGCTGACAACGTCCCAAAACCACATTTTTTGATTTGATCAAGAAATCTGGCAGACCTTGTTTCCGAAAATCTCTTGTTTTTTTCCTAGTTTAACTCTTTTCACGCGGTTTTTTCGTGCATTCTATAGGTCTTGCTTCTGCTCATAATGCAGACAACCACCCAGCCCTTACCTCTTTGATTATGGTGGAATTTTCTGCAAAAATCGTAAAAAGTGTGTTTTTCTTTACCTCATTCTGTTTGTTTGCTTTCGCATTGATTTTCTTCCAGCTTGGGCGATTTTTACTTAGAACAATAAGCGCAACAATCTAGACAACGTCCCAGGAAACAGAAACGTCAATGCGGGGGTAAAAATTTAAAGGACGCATCAAAAATCAAAACCCCGCGTTGCAAATTGCTGGTCCTAGAGCGAAATGCACTCTGAAAAGCCGTCAAATGAAAAATTTCAGACCTTATTGCATTTTTATCCGGCTTTCAGCAGTTTATGCTTTTTATATCTGTTTTACGTCATTCTCTCTTCTCTGATTTCTTTGAACAACCTTCACTATTTATGACGTCAGATGTTCACACAACCTCCACTTTTGGCGCCCTGTCTCTAGACTATCGAAGGTATGAGGGACAGGATAAAGGAACGAACACCTCAATTAGGCACCGCCTCCGCGGACTACTGGTCCTGACACGATACACAACCGTAGGACGAAAGGACCAGCAGCTCGTCGAGGCGGTGCCTAATTGAGGTGTTCGTTCATCTACCCTCGTGTTTTCAGAAGTACCTTCCAAACCCGGTTACATTTTAAAGTCTATGAATTATTTTGCTTACAATTTTGTAAAAAAATCAAGTTTTGCAAATCAGGTTTTTCTCAGACCTGAATGCGCGCAATTTGTCTCATGTAAATTATTTTTGGAGATTTTCGATCCCACTCCCTCCTATTCTTCTACCTCCACCTCTATTTTATTTCTTTCTCATCATTCTTCCTCATTTCCTCCTCTAATCTTCCCTCCAGCTTTTATCTTTTCTGCTTCTCTATTAATTCTCATTATCAGGTAGATGTCCAACACATTATGCGGCTACTGTATGCTCTCGTCCCAACAGCTAAATCGTTTTGCTCTACTTTGGCACCAGCATGTTATGACAATTATGAAGAACAAGGTAATTCACCTCCATTGATGCCATCAAATTTATCATTCCCCTTCTAGCACGTAATATCACACCAGGGACAATTTGTCTGGAATGCACTGCTTGCATGGTATTAGGAAACGTGGTTCAGGTTTGCTACAGAACCTTTGATTCAACTGGCTTGGCGGCTGGAAGGCAGGGCTGTGTACCTAATTGAGGCCGCTAGCGCCCGCGACGCAGTTTGCGTCTGTTTCGCGCGCGTGCTCCGTGATCATTCTCTAGCGTTAACTAGGTCACGAATTCCCGCCTTTTAGCCGCCAAGCCAGTGAATCAATGGGTATACATAAAACAGATTCTTACATTAATATTTATGACTTTCTTCCAGCACAGTTTCCTTCTGGACAAGGGCGTTTTGGCTTCAACCTTGCAATTCCTTCGATCCTCATTATTCCATAACACTTGCGCTGAACTGTGCTTAGTGTGGCAACCGCTAAACTTGACGCTTTTCCCTAATGGATTCACTTACGATGGGGTAATGATTTCTAGAAAGCGAATACCGATTTTTATTACCTTGCACAATTTCAGTGCATGGATTTCCTCACCGACGGTTTTGCCGAAGTAGTCGACATTGCTAAAGTAATCCTTCGGCCGGAACGATTCTGTAGCTTGGTAAGTTTTTTTAAAATAAAACTCAAAAATTATATACAAAGAGGCGAAAGTCTTCGCGCGAAGCCAGTTTTCATAGGTTACTCAGAGTATTAGACGAAAAGGGGCGAATGCGGTAACTAGGTAAGACTTCGTTCATAGTTGCTTGAGCAGCACATATCTCGCGCATCGCATGGCACCGCTCGCGAGTCGGTCTTAGCACAAGAAAAATAGAAAAAAGACGAGAATCAAATATCCTTAGGACTGTGTGACTGTGTCGGCGCTTGTACCCTTTGTTTCAACGGACTTGGCGGCTGGAAGGCGGGGCATTGTGACCTAATCAAGTCTGGGTAATGATCAGAGAGCACGCGCGGGGGAGAGACGCAGACTGCGTCGCGGGCGCGAGCGGGCCTTATTAGGTCACAAAGCCCCTCCTTCAGCCGCCGAGCCAGTTAAATCGAGGGTGATATACTGTGAAGCAGTTAAGACCACTAAGAAAAAACGCGGGGGGGGGGGGGGACGGCGAGGAAACAGTTCTTCTACCAATACTAAAGCAGACGGCCACGCCTCTTAAAATTTTTGGTTCTCAAATTTTTCGCAAACCTTAACTACCCAGAGAACTTTTTTCAGAAGGCTACTTCTTTTACAAATTTTGCAGGTGTTTAGTGAAATGACTTATTTTTATTATTCATAATGCCCGTTATCGATGTTTTGCGGAATCAATTTATTCCACCCCCATTTTTCGCCAATCCTTGTGCTCTTCATAATAAAGTCTCTACCATATTTCTTTTTCAGGAACTCGGATGGTGCGAACTAAATGAAATGCCCAACATTATGCATTGTCTCTATGAACTTTGCATAGAAAGTGAGGTTGATTCTTTGATTTTGAATAATTAAGCCGGTTTCCTTTTTCAGCTCTGGGCGACACACCACAAACACAATGGCTGTGTTCACTAATTCCAGCCCAACCCGTCATGGCGTACGAATTTTTGAATGTCCATAAGACGAGGCGAGAGAAGACGTGGAAGCCGTACCATGATAAATTTTTAAGCGAATCTCCTCGAGACGAGTTATGACAGCTTTATTGATCGACTAGACAACTAAACAAAAGAAGTTAATATTTATGATTTTGCGAATAAATTATCTGAATATTTTCTACCGCTTCCTTCCCTCATCCAGACTGGAAAAGCCCGATTTTCTGCGAAATCGTTGTTTCGCAATGTTTTCACATTTCTTTTCTTAAGGACAAACATCTTCAGCCAAAGGATAAAGGCACCAGTGGGCAAATACAATGAACCGTCTCTGTTTGCCTTGGCAAAGCTTAGCTTTGGCAAGTCAAGCAAATCTGGGAACGAAGCACAAATAGGAGCAAAAAAGTGGCAGTTGTCTAAAGCGAGAAGAAATTGGGGTATTTGGGTGATCAAATAGTAATCGCTTGTTTTTTGCAACGCTTCAAAGAAAAACATTTTCTATGACATTTAGCCTTATATAACAAGTATGACTCATATACCATTTGATTCTACTGACTTGGCGGCTGGAAGGCGGGGCTCTACCTAATTAAGGCTAGATAATGATTGGAGCATACCTTTGATAGTCAAGAGACAGAGCCTAGAAAGCAGTGGCGTACCGAGGGGGGGGGGGCGGGGGGGGGGGGGGGGGGGGGCGCGCCCCCCCCCCCCCGAGAATGGGTCGCGAAATTTTTGAAAGTTACTTATATGGGTTATAAAAATGTGCATGTGACTTGTTTATATTTGTAAATAATTAGAATATTTTTTAGAATTTTTAAAAAATTCAAATTAGCCTTGTAAAAAAATTTTTTTCGGGGGCGTGGCTGACGCCACGCCCCTTTTTTCCAGATTTTAGGGGTCGGGGACCCGCAAAAATTTTGAGGGTTGTTTTAGAAAAAATAGATGGAAATTTAGAGATCTGAATTGAACCAGGAAACTTAAAAAATATAAAACAGAGGTAACGCATCACCAAATTTAAAACCTTATCTTGGTGGTTTCCTACGCACATTTTTGTCTTCAGAATTGCCGGTTAAATTGGGTGGCAACAGGAACAAAGTTCTTTTCTAATTAAAAAAAGCGTTAGCTGTGGCGGTAGTTGGGAGACCAAAAGAAGGCAAAGTTGTCAACAACTGAACTGAACATGTTAAACATGTCTGAAAAGTTATGCTGCACATCGACGCCAATCTGATTTTTGACGCATTCTTTGAAGTTTTAACCCCGCATGGTCGTTTCGTATCCTGCGACGTTGTCTGGATTCTTCCGCTCATCATTCTGAGCAAGTAACGTCCAAACTGGAGAAAATTCGTTGCAAAAGCATTGAAAAAGAACAAGGTAAAGAAAAACGCACTTTTTGGTAATTTTTACAAAAAAACCGGCATAAGCAAAGAAGTAAGCTCGGCGACGTTGTCTACGTCATAGACAGAAACAAGACCTATCGAATACACAAAAAAACCGAGTGAAAAGAGTTGAACTGAAGAAAAAACAAGTGGTTTTCGAAAACTCCGTTTTTCCTTTATTTATCGTTTAAATCATAAAAAGGAGCCTTGCGACGTTGTCAGCGTGAAAATAGAGATCAAGAGCTTTAATATGATATATAGATTGTCGAAATTGGGCTCCGAACAACGAAGAAAAGGGTACCAGAGCCAAATGCCCCGCGCCCCGCATTTGAGGTAGCGAGGTAGCGCGCAGCGCGCGGAGACGCAGACGAGCAGCGGAGACAGACCAGAGCCGACGGGGCATTTGGCTCTGGTCGTGGATCTTCGCGGGGTCTCAACGAAACCCTGCAAAGTTATATATCGTTGTGATCCTCATGAGACGGCCAGGAGCACTGACAACGTCGCTGGTCTTGAAAATCACTCCATAACGAGATAGACCAGCATTCATATGGCGACCCTTTGCGCAAGATTTGAGCGCAGTTTTTCGTTTTTATTGAACTCTAGCGGCTTTAATGAACTCCAACATTCAACCGCAGTTCAGAGAAAGGTTAATTGAGAAATTTTGCCCTAGTTTTTGATAGAATTTTTAAATTAAAACCTTCTTCTCAACAAAAAAGGCCATAAATACGCAATCCTTCGGTTTTTTTGAGCTTCTTTTGAATGTCACTGCTATATTTGCCTCATTCAAATTCATCCCTATACAATTATGTCATTAGTTATGTCATAATTTCCGGGGCTTCGTCCCGGATGACTTCTGTACTTCTCCCCTGGTGAAGGTTGTGTTCTATCATGACGCTCAAAGTGAAGGTTACCAGAGTACATGGCTCTATGTATCGAAGGTATGGATTAGAGAGAAGGCGCAGAGGCGCAGAATGCGTCGCGGGCGGCCTCAAAGGTCACTGAGCCCTGCCTTCCAGCCACCAAGCAGTTGAATCAAAGGTAACCCTTTGTGAGGATGAAGTGCTGATTACTGTAGCGCAATGTGACAATTTTCGGTCGTTTGCCGAATTTTCGTAACGCAAAGATCTACATATGATAGTGGATATAGAGATCTGCAATTTGTTACCGTATACATACCGTAACGGCAACACTAATCGTCATAGAGTTTGCAGTTTTTTGCCGTATAAATACCGTAAAAAGAGGACACTGTATTGCAGCGAAAAGTTGTCTTTGCCTTATGCAAGAATCATTGCTCGTTGTAATGAAAAAAAACAGCTTTTCACCACTTAGCTACCGTAGCGCAAGAAATGTCTGCCATTTATGCAATATTAAGTTTCACGATCTTACCATATACGTACCGTAGCCGACGATACCGAATACCGTGTTATGATATAGAACTTTGCGTCTTCTACCTAAACCTATCGTAACGCAACGGATTATTGACTACTTCAGCGCTATGTGAAGTTATGCTGTCCTCCTATCGTATAGCTACAGTAACCGACGACAGTGATTACTTAGCTGACGTAATTCTGCATTCAATTGTTAAACAAAGTAAGCGGCGAACTACTCTCGTAGCGATTCAATTTGGCTAGCTTGATCTCAACTTTTCCTCTCTTCAAATTTATTGACTCTGAAGTAATTCGCGACAAAGTACCCTTTGATTCAACTGGATTGGCTGCTGGAAGGCGCGGCTTTGTAACCTAGTTAAGGCTAAAGAGTAATCGGAGAGTACGCGTGCGAGAGAGACGCAGACTGGATCGCCTGCGCGAGCGGCCTTAATTAGGTCACAAAGCCCCGCCTTCAGCCCCAATCCAGTTAAATCAAAAGCTAGAACGTGGTTTTTTTTTCTTTTAAAAACGTTTTCATGTACCACTTCGCATCTTTTTTTCACATGGAACTTTATTGCATAGCAGCAATGATTAATTATTGAAAGTAGTTCAAAAAAGAGCTGCTGCCAGAAATTACGTGCATCAATCAATAAGAATATAAGCCCAAAATTGATTGAAACATTTGCAAACTCTGCTTACGTCCACATTTAGTGCAAATAAATATGAAAATAGTATTGTCTGAAAGTAGACGCAGACATTTCGCCGCAAATAAAAGGCAATTCTCTAGATGTAAAAAAAACAGATGGAATAGTGCAGCAAAAGTGGATGGAGCCGATGTCCTTCCATGTGGCTGCCACTCATCGATTCGAGGCCCCTGCGGGCAGAAGCAGTGTTCTAGCACTAACATCCGGTAATTTCTGGAAGTGTTGGGCCCAACACACGCTATTTTTCCGCCTTGGCATTTTTCCAAGGCTTCTCGTCGTGTGGGAGAAGGCTATCAGTGTACATGTGCTTCATATTCTCTGTTCGAATTATCATTTGAGAGTATTGCTAAAGAATTTCTCAGCATCGAAATATTCATCCCATAATACTATAGCACTGATCAGACTCCGCCATGTTCTATTCTTTTGTACTATTTATTTTATTTCTAGCCCATAATTTTCAAATAACTGTTAGAATTTCTCTCTTTTATTTCGTTTGTCTTCACCTAATCAACCCAAATAAACATGAAAACGATCATCTTGCAGAATTTTAAAAAATGATACATTTTTTGTTGAAATACTGAAAAATCTTTTATTGAAACATTTGAGACGGACCTATGAAAAGTCAAGATCCCTCATGTTTCCCGTGGGAATTCAACCGAGACTTATTGCATAGGAAGAGGCCTCAGAAATATTTAGAAGATTTGAAACAGAGATTTTAGAGCAGGGAAAAACCCTCAGAAATGAGATTGGAACAGTTTTTTTTTTCAGAAAAAGAAAAATTCAAAAATCTTTTCAATTGAGACAGGATCACGAAAAGAGGAAAAATTATCAGAATTTCTAAGAAGTCTGAACAAATTTAAAAAAGAAAGTTTACTAGCATGAAAATATCCAAACTCTTGAAATAATAGGGGCATATACTTTTGACAAGAAAAATCCTTAGGTTCCGCGTAGTTCCATGTAAAAATTTCTGGCTAAAGGAGAATGAAGAACTTACAAGATCAATCAATAAAATAACTGTTCTTCTAAGTTTTTTGCAATGTTCTGGAACGTCGGCAGTTTTCCGACTCGTCCTTTCTCTCCTTCTCTCCCATTCAAATGCTTTTTCGTCATCGTGCATAAAAGTGTTGATTTTTCACAAAATGTGCGCATCGATTGGTCTGGTATTCATCCTGACGTGCATGGCAGAGAGCCGTGGTCGAAACATTGTCTCTGCATCTGCACTTTCATTCAACAATTCTCTATCGTTTATTAATGTGACGAGCTGTATTGAATAATATTGATTTTTACTACTTACTATCAAAAATTGTTGCTATCATACCGATCTCAAATTTATAAATTTCTCGAGATGTTTCTTTTGAAGGCTTTGCTAGGTTCCACGTTTTTTTTCTATATTCTAGAAACTTCGACTTCCCATAGTAATCTCGATTATGCTGTTGTTATGTCCACGCAAAGTACTTATTTCTGTTGTATTCTGCTCCTAGGCAACCTGTACGCATCCACACCCTTACTCCCAGCATACCATTGGTTCAAATTCCTTCCCTCATCTTACATGACAAAGAAATTATTCTATTTTTATTTACTTACGATGAATTTTCAACCTATTATCGTCGAGTCATTTCTAACTTAATATGTGTAGTGCACACTAAGCACGCTGACTGACGAACTGCAAAAGTAGAACCGGCTCATTTGCAGTGAT